CCAGAAGTCTAACCCAGATCGTCTGTACATTACCCATAACCTCTCTTATCAAGAACTGAATTTCTAGATCCAGGCATGGAGTTAATGTTCTTCTAGATGAAAGGATCTTTACATAGAGAAAACAGATCTACAAGGTATGGGTAAAACAAACAACTTTTAAGTGCTGCCTTCTGTGTTCCTAGGGGGAAGAAAAGAAAGATCCCTAGGTAAAGAGGGACACCAAAGGTAACAGTTTCTCACCAATCCAGGCGACTGATACCCATTGACTAAAGAGAAGAAGGTGGAGGTCAACCACAAGAAGGCAGGTCTCCAAGGTCAGCAGGGCCCAGCAGTGGCAGCACTGACCAAAAGTGTATCTTGTGCTAGCTGCTCTAGAGAGATGGTCATCAGCACCTCCCTTTGATCAGGCCACTGGCTATGGCCACAACTGTTGCCGAAGGTGGTCAAGGGCCAAGCAGCCCAGGTGCAAGGAAACTCATTAGTCCTTCAACTATGCAGTCAGAAGCCATTCACATGCTTATATTCTATGTTATGTTCCAGAAGTGTTACTAGAGCTCCAATCTACACACTTCATACTTAGCAAGTTTCAGGAGTCAACTTTATATTTAAGGTCTATAGACTTTACTTACCTTAGGGAACAGTCTGGGGACCAGAAAAAAAAAAAAGTCCATTACAAAGTGCTTTCTACAGGTCCCCAGACCTGGGCTCCTTTTATGACGATACCAATCATTTTTGTTCTTTTCCTTAGGAGACACATTTGTTATAGATCTATTTTTAATCACATGAGATCACATGATATATACTATTTTATAACTTACGTTTGCACTTAACAGCATAGGGTGAACATAATGCATAACTTAAACTGGATCAATCACGTGTTTCGGTTAGTCCTTTAAAATGTCTTATAATTAAGTTAATTAGCTATTGTAGAACTTTAGGTTGTTTCCAGTTTTCATAATTATAAACAATACTGTGATAAATGATAAACTTCCTTATACCTAAAACTGCGCAATTCCTTAATAATTTCCTTAGTGCTAATTTCCAGAAATTGAATTCTTGGGTCAAAATATATGCCTGTTCTTTTAAGGCTTTTGCAATGGATTACTAGATTTTTCATTAGAAAGACTGTGACAATTATATTCTTACAAACATTTTCTGAAAGTACCTGTAATGTCTGAGCACAGTGTTTCACACCTATAATCCCAGCACTTTAAGAGGCAGAGGCGAGAGGATTGCCTGAATTCAGGGGCTAGAGACCAGCCTGGGCAGTCTGGTGAGACCTTGTCTTTACAATAAATACAAAATTTAGCAGGACGTGGTGGCACAAGCCTGTGGTTCCAGCTACTTGGAAGGCTGAAAAAGAAGATCACCTGAGCCCAGCAGGTCGAGGCGGTGAGATTTATTTTTTCTTTCGCCTGAAACCAAGATTGAAGGGCCAGGTTTCTTTGCTGTCTCCTTTTGCAGGGCAGGCTCATTTCTATTTGTCTTGCACCTAAGGCATAACTCAGCTTTACACAGTAGTTTCCTTTCAGACTCCCTACTTGAGAATTTTATCTCCTATCTTCTGGCCATCAGAATGGAAGTTCAAGGTCACACATGTTGAACAGGGTCCCCCAGGGCAGCTGCCAGCTTCACTCTTAGCTCACCTCCCTGAATACCTGCTAATGGTTCATTTTTGGCTTCAGAAGATTTGATTATTTACTTACTTGCCAGCTCAGCAATGCACTTAGAAATTTCTGAAAAAATATTTTATTCAGCATTTTTAGTTGTTTATAGTGGCAGGGTTATTGAGGATACTGCAGGACTATTGTCTGCCTTTTCATTTTGTTTACAGTGTGCATTTTTTCTTTCTGATGTCTTTGGTCAGCCCTCCAGGGAGAGGGCATGGTTCAGTGTGAGCCCTGTCCTGTCTGCAGGTGGCCATTCTTTCCCTCTTGGAGACTATAGTGAGACTCCTTGAGCTGATTAGGGTCTAGGACTTCCATTCCTATTCCTTGAAGAAGGGGACGTAGCTGCTTCTTCAAAGGCCCGGGTCATACTCACCAATGACTGAGTCTAGCACTTGTCTTCAGGCTGTCATAGAGCCAAGTTACCTTCCCTGTGCTCATGGCTTACCAGCTTTAGGGCATGAGTTTTGAGTCCTTTCTGCCTCCCACAATCACTTTAGAAGAACTGATAACTTCTTTTAGTGTGCTCAGTTAACCAATTGGATAGAGAAAGCAACCTCAAACCCTTCACCTCCTCCCGGGAGGCCAGCTTGCCTTTGCAGCTCAGAGAGATAGAACAAAGGGAACTGCCCTATAGGTCACTGCTGTCTGTCGCCTCAGGGTCTCAAGTTGAACTTATGGGTCTTGTGGTTGGCCCTGGAAGCACCCTTCCATATCCCATTTCTAGCTGAGTGGACCTTGCCTGCCTGGAGTTGGGCCCCAGAGGAGCCCAGATATGCCCGGCAACTTCCCTCCCGCTCTAGGAAGCCTCTGTTAATTATCACCTACAGGAAGCAGGATAGGAAGCATAAAAAGAGTTCTTTTCAAGGCATTTGAGGAGGAAGTGATTCCCTTAGGAAAGTTTGTCAAAATCTCTTATGGTAGGTTTTTTTATAGTCACCACCTGCCCCTAATCCCAAATAAGTAAGCCATGGCTTCTGGTAGGAGTGGACCAGAGTGGGGGAAAATGTTCAGAACCATCGACCTAGAATCGCACGGCCTAGAAAGGCAGCCACTAGTTAGTTATGTGTGCTTATGGAGCTCTCTTGAAATGTGGCTAGTGAAATAATCGCTGGATCTCAAAGGTTTAATACCAAAAAAAGAATGTTTTTGTATTAGTTACATGTTAGAAGGATACTATTTTGAATATGTTGAATGTAGTAAAATATTTATTAACATTAATTTCATGTTTTATTTTTAAAATGTGGTTCCTACAGTGATAATGACAGCTAAACTTTGGGATAACTTCCCCTCAGCCACAGGGTGATTTCTCTGGTCACCAAGGCAGGGCATGCGTGCATGTTGGGGTTTCCTTTACCTTTCCTATGAGTTGTACCAAAACATCCACCTAAGTTATTTTATTTGAACCTTTCTTTCAAATAAAGAAATTTTATGTTCCCCCAAAAACAAACAAATAAAATATCTAGTAGCTTAAAGAAATGTGGCTTCTGGAAAATTTAAAGTTACATGTGTGGATTGTGTTTGTGACATGCTATCTCTTACGTAGCACAGATCTAAAAGATGACTTGTTCTGTGTGTGTGTGTGTGTGTGAGATATTCAGATACAAACTACAGGTTCTGCCTGCAGCCTCTACTTGTCAGATGGTTTGCCATTTTGCCTGAGTTATATAAATAGAAGGCATTTCGTTTATTCCCATGGAGGTTTCTCAGTAGTGCCCACAACCCCCAGTCCTAAGCGGAAAGAGAAATATCAATCCCAAATGGGATTAAATAAATACCTGTCAGGTCCTTACATGGACACACATACCTGTTTGTATTATTATTATTATTTTGTTTTTGTTTCATCTTTTGTTTTTTTTGAGTTGGAGTCTCACTCTGTCGCCCAGACTGGAGTGCAGTGGCCGCTCCCGGCCACCGCAGCCTCGACCTGCTGGGGCTCCGGCGATCCTTCCGCCTGAGCCTTCCAAGTAGCTGGAACTACAGGTGCGCGCTACCACACCCGACTAATTTTTTGATTTATTGTTGAGATGAGGTCTCACCAAGTTGCCGAGGCGGGTCTCGAATCCGCGGGCTCAGGCAATCCACTCACCTCAGCCTCCCAAGGCGCGGGATTAGAGGCTGAGCCACCAAGCCCTGCTATTATTTTTATAATTAAAAAAATTTTAGTAACAGGGTCTTGCTACGTTGCCCAGGCTGAACTTGAACTGGAATAGCTAGGACTACAGATGTACAGCACTACATCTAACGTGCTATTGTTATTATTAAATCTAAACTCTGTTTTGAAGCCTACTGTTTTAATTCAATAATGCCTATAGAAAATATTTATCTTATACCATCATTTTAATGACTACTCAATGTCTTTTCATATGATTCCTGTATACTCCAACTGATTTAATTGATATCCTATTGTAGGGTTTTTAGGTCCTTCCTTCCCTACTTCCTTCCTTCTTCCTTTTTTCCTTCTTTCCTTCCTTCCTTCCCTTTCTCCCTCCCTCCCATCCTTCCTTTCCCTCCTTCCCTCACTCTCCCTTTCCCTCCCTTCCTCTCTCCCTTCCTCCCTCCCTTCCTTCTTTCCTTCCTTCTGCTATTGTAAACAGTGCTGCAATGAACATTTATGTAGCTAAATCTTTATCCACATTCTTGAATATTTCCTTCAGATAAATTCAGAGAAGAAGAAATTACTGCCTCAAATCTATTCACATTACAAAAATTTTAGTAATATTGCCATATCCTTCACAAGTTTTATCAGAATTGTGCATGTCTTGCCTCCTACCTGCAAAAGTAGGTGTCTGGATGAAGGACTGCCAGCTTTTTTCTCTCTACCACCCTAGAAGGCACAGTTCATAACCTTGGCATGTATGAGGGGCTTCCTTCCCTCTGCTACCACCTGACCTTCCTCCTCCTGCCCCTTTCTGAGCCTGCCCAGGTGCCAGGGGTTCAAGTGCTCTTCACTGAGCCCTATGTTGATCACTGTCAACTTTAATCATTTATTCCATGCACTATAAAATTTTTTTTGAGACAGGGTCTCACTATGTTGTCCGGGCTGGTGTCAAATTCCTGGGCTCAAGCGATCTTCTCACCTTAACTTCCTAAGTAACTAGGGTTACAGATGCATGCCACTGTGCCCCGCTGCACTATACAATTTAACCCTATGTTGTACTTTGCTTCATAATTTCTTCCACTGGATTAAAAGAATAATATGGGGGGAAAAGGAAGGTGAAATTATTTTACTTGCATTCACTCTCTTGATATATCCTGGTGTCTTTTTTGAAGGTTTGCTTCTGTTTTCAGAAGCCAGCAAGCTCTCACTGATGCATTTTCTTCTTATTTCAGCTGCTAAAGAGAGCCATTGGCTAGAAAGTAACACTGAACCCCACAAAGAAAACATCACCTTCCATCAGAGTCAAGAGGACTTTTCAACAATGGCCTCCAAAGAGGGTGTGATGGTTGAGACCTCTGGAAAAAGCCATGCTTCTTCAAATGCTCCAGAAAACTGCACTCTACTAACAGAAACAGCAGATGCTGGAGGAAGGAATGATTCTTCAAGTAGAACTAACTTCACCATTTCCCCCGTTGGACACTCACTTGAGATAGCAACAGCTCTGAATTCCCAGAGCAGCACCTTAGGTGAGTTTGTGCTGATGATGCTCATTTCATTCAGGCATATCTAGTCCTGTAAAACACAATGACTGTCACCTTGTCCCTCTTCTGAGCCATTGTGGCCATCCAGTCCTGGGCAGAGGTGGGTAAGACCTGTGACTTAGGCCCCACTGTTGGCATGGTGTAAATACAGACTAGTCAAGGCTGCAGATTTGCCAAGCAGCCTGGCCGATCCTGTAGCATCTACAATCCATGTCCAGTTGGAATCCAAATCTTGTCCTTCCTCTGGAGATCCTGCTACACACTATGATCTCAGCAGCACTGAGTCTCATGGGGTGCATAGCTGGTAAAGAAAGCCAAGCTTAGGTTTGTTTGTGTTGTGGCTCAGATGGTTGTCCTTGTTCCAGTCTGCACAGCTTGGTGGTTTGCTGTCTTTAGCAAAGAATTTCAAGAAGGTGCTGGGGTTTAATGGTTACGATTTGACTGAGGAAGAGAACATAAAGAAACCAGTATTGATTAGGTACCTACTACATACCACCATGTCAATTCTCTTAGCCCATGATGAGGTCATGTTATTCTCAGTTTAGGCATTTGGAAACTGAAGCTCAGAGAAGTCAATTAACCCACCATGTGTAAGTCAAAACAGTTAACAGGTTTCAGAGCTGGGGTCTGAGTGAGATGGCAGGGCCAGCTGAGTATTGGAATGCCTGGACAATGGGAGTGGAGGTTCAGAGGAGAAAAAGACAGGTGTGGCCTCTTTGTGGGGAGGCAAGGCCAGCAGCCTCCCTTGGCAAGGGCGTAAGTTGCCCACAGAGCAGAGGAGGAGCAGGGAGAACAGTGTAGATGAGTTTAGGGACAGTCATGGAGGACTTTGAACAACAGGCAGTTTAGATTTGATGTAGTGGGGAGAGTTGTTGAAGACTTTTAAACAAGGAAGTGACATGACTATAGTGAATTGAGGGAGGATTTGCCTGACAGGCAGGTACAAGATGTCTGGCATGGGAATGGGAGGATGGAGGTTAGGGAGACCCTTTTGGCGGACATAGAGATCCAGACACTAGGTGCTGAGATATGACCTGGTGGCCATAGGAACAAAGAGGAAGGGATTGGAAAGAGATGTCACCAAGGAAAATTGATAGGACGTGGTGATGACCTGAAAGTAGAGGATGAAACCATTGAAGATGACTCTATAGTTTCATGTCCTAGTGACAGGAGATCTGGTTGGGGAAACTAAATTCCATAAAGAATATATGTCAGCTGGGCTCGGTGGCTTAGCCTGTAATCCCACGCCTATGGGAGGCTGAGGTGAGTGGATTGCCTGAGCCCACGGGTTCGAGACCCACCTGGGCAGCGAGACTTCATCTCTACAATAAATAAAAAAATCAGCCAGGCATGGTAGCGCATGCCTGTAATTCCGGCTACTTGGAAGGCTGAGGTGGAAAGTTCGCCGGAACCCAGCCGGTCTAGGCTGCGGTGGGCAGGAGCGGCCACTGCACTCTAGTCTGGGCGACAGAGTGAGACTCCAACTCAAAAAAAAAAAAAAAGAATATATATCAAAGCATTTTATATTCTATTCATGAATGACGGCTATGGGGTTCAGAAACTCTGCATATGATATGGCCTGGTTTTATTGGTCATCTAGATACTAGGAATTTGTTTATATTGGATTCAAGTAAATTCTGGGACCAACTTTGTGGAATGTGGGTGATGGGTCATAATGATCAGATGCTGATCTCTGATTCCATATTATCTGATACTTAACTCCATTGTGCCCCTTTTCTGATAACGTTATCAAAAAATGCAAAGTCTTGATGAGATCTAAAGATGGTCTTTGTGTTGACTTGTGATCTCTCAGGAGTTCATTTTTTATGGAATGAAAAAAATTATTTCTCCTAATTTCTTCTTATGTCCACGTATTTTGTAAAAGTCAGAGTTGAGCCCCTAAAAGCATATGAGGACATTTTGAAGTCTGCTGTTGGAATTTTAATTGTTGCTATCTGCTTTCAGCCTTGGAAAGTCTTCCCTTGCCATCCAGTGGCTCAGGGTCCGAAGGAAGAACTGCTTCTTTTCAAGCGAAGAGTGGAACATCCCAGGGCTCACCGGAGAGGAGGACGGGGCTCTCGGGAGAAGTGACTGTGCACACTCAAGTGGCTGCCACCTCTGCATTGAGCCAGTCTTCTCTTCCTGCTTTGGAGATGGGAGAGCCAACCACGCTCTCTAGGAAGAGAGCCTCCTCAGGACCAGAGCTCTCCTCACTGCATGTCCTCAGGACACCCGCTTATGCTGCTCTCTCAGACCATTCCTCATGTGAGTCCTCCTCTCCCTGGCTTCACACTCTAAGGTCATTCAAAATAGACACAACAGATGTGAATAGCTACTAGTTACATACTCGTAATGGGGACAAGGGGAAAAGACATTAAGGCAAAATACCATTCCTCTAATGCCGAGTATTTGGGGGTGATAGTATGTACAACCTACAGTTTTTCTCAGTATTGAAGTTCATGTATAAAATATGTTTTGACTGTATTATATGGAGGGGAATAATGTTTAGTCTGCAGCTGCTCTGAGCCTTTCTGTTCACCACACACTTTCCCCACTCTCCCATCCCATTTGCACATGTACAATAATGACTGTGTTATTGGCATATATTCTTGTATAAGAGGCCACATCTTGGGGTGCATGAAATGGTGAGCATTGTACCATTTGATTAAGAGTTAGATTTTGATGTCTTTATTTTTGCAAAGATGTTTTCTTCAGGCCAGGTGCAATAGCTCACACCCATAATCCTAGCACTTTGGAAGGCTGAGGCGAGAAGATGGCTTGAGCCCAGGAATTCGAGACTGGCCTAGGCAACATCTCTACCAACGCGAGCCCTCATCTCTATCAAAAATAAAAAAATTATCTGGGCATGGTGGTACATGCCTGTCATCCCAGCTACTTGAGAGGCTGAGGTGGAAGGATCGCCTGAGCCCAGGAGGTCAAGGCTGCAGTGAGCTGTGATTGTATCACTGCACTCCAACCTGGGACATGGAGTGAGACTCCACCTTAAAAAAAAAAAAGAAAGAAAGAAAGAAGGAAAAAATGTTTTCTTCAATGGCAAAGAAAACATGGGTATACATTTTCCTAGGCATTATTTTGAAAAAATAATGCAATGCAGGTATTATCAGGGCATGATATTAGTATCTGCAGCTGTGGAGTGCTCCTCTCTGCCATTCCAGTTCCTATGCATCAGTGAAGGCTCAGCTCAAGAATTCCATTTCCATGAACCCTTCTTTAACCCTTTGGTCCCCTGTGCTCTACACCTCATCATACCAGGTCATCTAATGCCTCTACCCAGAGGGGTTGTGATCCTCTTGAGGACACAGGCTGTGCCTGTTACTTCTCTTAGGTTCTCCACTGCCCCAGAAAGGGGTGTAGCTGATAAGAGATGGGGCACATGTGTGCCCAGATACCCTCACAGGGCACATCCTGCCTGGGCCAAGGAGTATGTTGGAAACTGCCCATCTTTTCTTCTTTTCTTTTATTCAGCGCCATTGTATGCTGCTTGTGTTTTCATCCTTATGCCATAAGGAGCAGGACAGACAGGGTTGGAAGTATTCTTGGGAAATAGATGTTAGGTTGCTTCAGAAATTACCACTTCAAAATTTTTGTAGGTCGGAAGTTTCTAGGAGTACCTTTTGCAAGTCTAGGAGTTTGAGTTTATGTCGTCAAAGCAAAAACTCAACCCAGAGTGCTTTCTGGAATACCTATTTAGAGCAGCCAGTTCCTCTTCCATGTACTCTGTATACAATTTTCTGCTGACTGAGTTTGGATATAATCTATGATTCATGTTTTTTAGAAGATTGTTTTTTAAGAGTATTCATAAACATTGGTTGGATTGAATAAAAGTTATGGTCTTTTCCAACTTCAAAGTTCTGTGGTTCAGTGATTTACAACCAACTTTACTCAGCAGTAGAAAGGAAACATTCTCTAGGAATCTACACTTTGGTTCTGATCAGGGTCATTTAATATTTATAATTTAAATTCAACCTACTGTGGTATATTTGAAAATCAGCTTATCTTTCCAACTTTACTGGACTTGACTCTGTATTCATCTATATTTTCCATAACTAAAAATGTAATTTTCCTCAAAATCTTTGAGCATTCTTTTTTTTTTTTTTTTTTTGAGTTGGGGTCTTACTCTGTTGCCCTGGCTAGAGTGCAGTGGCATGATCAGGCAGTCATACTCACAGCAGTCTCGACCTCCTGGGCTCAGGCTACCCTTCTGTTTCAGCCTCCCAAGTAGCTGGGACTACATGCATGCGCCACCAGGTCCAGCTAATTTTTTGATTTTTCTGTAGAGATAAGGTCTCGCTATGTTGCCCAGTTTGGTCTCGAACTCCTAGGCTCAAGCGATCCTCCTTCCTTGGCCTCCCACAGTGCTGGGGATTACAGGCATGAGCCACAATGCCTGGCCATTTGTCCTTTTAGAACCTTATACTTTAAATTGTTGGAGAGTTCCGCCATATTCTTTCATATTCTTTGAGTCTCTTTCTGAGCATTTTTCTTCCTTTTTAGTGAATGAGTGTGTTCTGTTCCAGGTAGAGTCCTAGCACCCTCTTAGATATTGGATTATCACTAGGCATCCAAGTACATCTGAATTCAGGCTGCCAGCCTTCCCTCCTCCTGTGGTGATACAGAAGATACACACACAAGGACCTGAAGCTACATGGAAAACTGCTTGACTTTGAAAGCTGTACTGGTACCTGCTAACCCACTAAACAGAGTCCTCTTGAATCTGAGTTTTGAGAATTACTATCCCTCAGGATGCAGGAGCTTGAGGCATTTGGGCAAGAGTGTTGAGAGAGGGCCAGCAGACCTCCCAAAGGCAGACCAAGGGTCGACCCAGTCTGGCTGGCCAGTTCTGAAAAAACAAAAACGAAGCGGGAATGCAGCGGGGACTTGTGCCTTCTGACGCTTGACCACGCCATCCACTAGTAATTGTGACCCAGTGAATAGCCTGGCACCAGAAGGGCGGGGCTTCTTATTTGAAGCATGAAAGGATTTGAAAGATCCTTTCTAGCTCCTTCCTTGATATTCTGTGCCTCCTTTCTCTCCTGACTCAGCTACACAGACACATGTGTGCAGCACAACGTCTTCCAAGGCTGGGGTGATAGCAGGTATAGGCCCAGGCAGTGGAATTAGATTTTTAAAAAGATGTTGAAAACCATTTGAAATTATCCTTCTTGCTGCTTTTCATCTTTTACTACTTTGTATCTTTTTATACATTCCATTTTTAAAAATAATGACCTTGTACTATTTGATAGTTGGGGGGAGGTAAAGAAAGCAACAAAACAAGGGGGGAAAAACTCTCTTTTGAAGGTGGAAAGAGGTATGTGTTCATTGAATTGTGTGAGAGTGGCTACAATTGAGCACTAAATTTAGTGCAGAGCTTCCTGGAAACCAGGGCACAAAGGGAAACCGGGTGGGGCATGTGATTGTTGTCAGATAAAGTAAGCATACAGTTTTATCCATAGGCTGAAATGCTTTGGGGGCTGTGAATTCTAAGAGGACTATTTATATAAGAAATGTTGAGGATCGTAATGGAAAGTGCCGTCAATTGCTGTTTTGTGGAAATTGTGCTAATGTTCTTTATAGGTGATATTTTATATAGATTCTCAATAGGAGCTAAGGATATAATAATAGATCTCAACTTATGAAAGTATTTCTGTGGGCAGCTAAGCTCATGTGGTCTGGGCAAATTGCTTTGTGGTGATTTCACTTTGTAAAGAGAAAGCATAAATAACTCAGAAGATTGTAGATTAGGTATATCTGTCTCAAATATCAGCTGTTTCAGCTGTGCTTTTGGCAAGTCCTGGATAGCAGTCAAGATTGAGCATTCTGATACAGTCCTGAGGTCCCAGTATTTTGTGCTGTGACTGGAGAGTGACCCCTTACTTTTACCAGATGAGTAGGATTCCTTCCGCCTCCCGAATAAAGATTAGGAACTTGGCTTGTTTCTGTCCCCAGATGGATGACTTTCCTACTTTTTAATGGTTGCTTCATGAGTAGATATGTGCAAAGAAGGGCAATTATTAAATAACCAAGAATGCCAGCCTGTTGATTAGAAATGTGGTAAATTCCCCCCTGGGTTTATTTAGTAGGTGCTCATTTAGTAATGTAAGTGGTGATTGTAGATTAGTTTGACCAAACGTTTCTTTTTCTCACTGAAAATCACCAACTCTCCAGAAGTATTTGAACACATTTCATAGCTTTACTGTGAGGATTAAGTGAGATTCATCTAAAGAACTTGGCACAATGCCTGGCACATCGTAATTGGTCAGTAAATGGTAGCTTTTTATAATTATGATAATGATGAGATAATGAGATGAAGAAGCAATGATCTACAGAGTTCTCAGGGTCAGGGGGAAAACGGAGCCCTTTTCTTTTTGTGACTTTCAGCATTTGTGACTTTTGTGGCTGTATTTCTGATCCATTGATTTGCTAAAACCACCAGAGGTCTATGGACCTGGGCAATTCCATCTGAATCCAGTATGATCATTACAAGGTTTTTTTTGTTGTTGTTGTTGTTGTTTTTTTTTTGAGTTGGAGTCTCTCTCGGTTGCCCAGACTGGAGTGCAGTGGCTGCTCCCGGCCACCGCAGCCTCGCCTGCTGGGCTCCGGCAATCCTTCCGCCTCAGCCTTCCGAGTAACCGGAATTACAGGTATGCGCTACCACGCCCGGCTGATTTTTTGATTTGTTGTGGAGATGAGGTCTCACTGCCCAGGCAAGTCTCGAACCTGCAGGCTCAGGCAATCCACTCACCTCAGCCTCCCAAAGGCGCGGGATTACAGTCTGAGCCACCGAGCCCGGCTCACTACAAGGTTTTTAACGAGAACATTGAATGGATGAAATAATGCAGTTTACTGGGAATAAAAGTGCTTGTGGAAGAACATCCAGGGGCAACCCCTTCAGGTCCCCTCCTGCTGTGGGAGTTTTTCTGTCCTCTCAGTAAATCCTGCTTTCTAAAAAAAAAAGAACATCCAGCAATGTGATGAGGCTGTAATTTGGTGAATATAAATGATAACTCTAGTGAAGTTAGGCCTGAGAAACCAAGTGCTTGAGTGAGGCTTTGGGCCATATCTAGAATGCTTTCCTTTTGTTATATGAAAATGTTTTTTGTTGTTGTTGGTTTGGCTTAGTTAGGCTTTTGTTTTTTGTTTTTTGTTTTTTTTTTTTGAGTTGGAGTCTCACTCTGTCACCCAGACTGGAGTGCAGTGGCCGCTCCCGGCCACCGCAACCTCGACCTGCTGGGCTCTGGCGATCCTTCCGCCTCAGCCTTCCAAGTAGCTGGAATTACAGGTGCGTGCTACCACGCCCAGCTGATTTTTGGATTTATTGTAGAGATGAGGTCTTGCTGCCCAGGCGGGTCTCGAACCCGCGGGCTCAGGCAATCCACTCACCTCAGCCTCCCAAAGGCGCGGGATTACAGGCTGAGCCACCGAGCCCGGCAGGCTTTTGTTTTTAAGTAGAGGTGGGTTGGGTCTGAGACTCTATTATTGTGTCCACATTTTTCTAGTCCTTTGTTTCATTTACTGGATTTGTGGATTCCCCACATCTTCATTTTGTATTCATTAACGTCCAGCATCCATAGTTGCAGACTGTGTTCTAGGTATAAGTGGTTCTATGGTTTTGCACGAGAGTAAGAGGAACCTTTTGTTTCCTGGGCTTGCCCCCTCTCTCTGTCAAACTATATTTAAAATTTATTTGTGGTTTTGGTCACAATTGCACATAGGACTGGCCTTCAAGGAACTGTTTATAATGACAACTTCCCTTTTCCCTTTTCTGGGTCATAATTAACAGCTTGAAGCCTTTCATTATATAGGTGTAGAGTACTTATTATTTTTGGCTTAAAAAGAAAAAAAAAACCCTCTCTTTTCTTTTCTTGCCTTTGGTCTTACCTGCCATGTTTCTTCCTGCTCACCAAGCTTTCCTGCAGTTTATTCCTGTTTGGAATGAGGATTTTAATACACCCTTCTGGAGGTTAGTTCTCAGGGTAGCCTTTGGAAAGTTCTCCGTGGAAGGGAGCCATCAGCAAGCCACCCGTATTTATGTGGAGCAGACTATGCCTTTGGATTGATAGTGTACAATTCACTTCTTAAGGTGCTTGACAATTACCCAATGGCTGCCATCCATTGATTAGAGAAACTATTCCTGGAGTCCCTGACTTCCTGTGGGCCCACTGGAGCAGTATGTAGATCTGAGCGCTGGTCTCTGAAGCTTAATGAGACTAGCTACAGTAATGAGGCATCTTTGTTTTGGGATGGAATTAAATAAAATTCATGGGGTAATAATGAGTATTTCCTGCTGGTTAGAAATTTTGTTACTTAATAAATGCAGTTTGGTTAATAGTCGTTCAAAACATAAGGTTTATGGTGGCCTTGAGGTAGGGAATAATAAAAAGCCGTTGATGGTGACAAGACTAGGAATTATTGTCTAGGCTGTGAGTGTCCTGATTGTGTTCTGCAAAACCCTAGGCCTCCTCAGTGGTGACCTGGAGGTCAGGTACCTTGTAGCAACCCTACTTTTATTCATTTTATGAATAGGGTTTTAATCTGTAATAGTATTTGAACAAAAGGGTTTCGTTGCTAAAACAACAACAACAAAAACCTTATCACAATGGCCTGTCCTGTTTAAGCTGTAATGCAGAATTCAGCAGAAACTTTCATCTTCTAAGAAAACCAAGGCACATAATGCATTTATTTTGCTTTCTCCTATTTTCCTTTTAGTTGAGCATAAGCTTTCCATTGTGCCTGGTGAAGGACCTCACTGCTTCCCCACTTAACTCTATAAGAATTACAGCTCATGAGGAGAGAGCGCAGGAGTTGTGTGTGTGTAAACATACACAAATGTGTGTCTATATGAGGTCCACAGTATTTAGATTTATTTGCCAAAATGTAACAAGCATCATTTGTGCTTAGATACACTCCTGATTCTCTTAAACTCCTGAGTAAATTTGAAGTATATCTTCTTCCATTGTAGCTTCTGAAAGGGTGGAGTTGCTTAACAACTCCACTGGTCTCCAGGGCTCCTCGGTCAGTCAGACGAAGAATACACACGTTGCCACCACGTTCACTGATGGTGCCCCAAGAATGCTCCGATCTTTGACTGTCAGTCTAGAACCTATAAACGAGACAGAAGTCTTCCCTGAAGACTCCAAAATTGCCACGACTTCAGCCTCAGCCCATTCTTCACCCTCTGCAGTGGAATCGAGAAGAAATAGTGGAATAACCAGGAACCCAGCGACTGGGGAGTTCATTGAGCCATCCACAGAAAATGAATTTGGACTTACATCTTTACATTGGCAAAATGATTCCCCAAGTAAGTATTTCATCTTTACTTGATCTGTTCGGGACATTTGTAAATGATTGACTTTTCTTAGGGGATCTCTTCAAGACCATTTGTAATCTCCAAAGGACAGTGTGCTCTTTGATGACACCAGCTCCTTTTTCTGGTATGCCACACTATCGCGTTTTGATTTTCACCCTCATGAGAACGTTGTGAAGTTGGTCAGGTGTGTGTTATTCCTCCTGCTTTTTTATAGAGAGAGGAAATTAAGGCTCAGAGCATATATATAACATCCACATGACTGTTTTGCTCACTCCGCAGCGTTGAGACCTCAGCCTTGGAGCTCTCATGGTCGGTTCCGTCTCCTGTCACTCCATAGTATTATCTTTATGCTGAGAGCAGGCCTACTCTGTAAATTAACTTCAGTCATTCTGTGTACAGATCATCTTTATACATACATGTGCAGATATAAATGTAGTTCCCAAATTCACGATTTGATTTACTCCTTATAGTTATTTTTTTTTTTGTTATATTTCAAAATTAGCACTGTTTTATTTTTTAATTTTTAAAATTTTTTTTGAGCTGAAGTCTTATTCTGTCACCCAGACTGGAGTGCAGTGACACATTCCTGGCCACCACAGCCTCGACCTGCTGGGCTCCAACAATCCTTCCTCCTCAGCCTTCCAAGCAGCTGGAACTACAGGCACGTGCTACCACGCCCGGCTAATTTTTTGATTTATTGTAGAGATGAGGTCTCGCCAAGTTGCCCGGGTGGGTCTTGAACCCGCAGTCTCAGGCAATCCACTCACCTCAGCCTCCCAAAGTGCGGGATTACAGGTTGAGCCACCGAGCCCAGCTTAGCACTGTTTTAGATAAGTACTCTGTGCACAGTATTTCTGCACTTCATATTTGTTGGGCCAACTGCACACTTATTTCCTTAAACACTTTTTACGGGCGAGAATAACACACTCAAGCCTGTAAGTTACTCCAGTCCTTGCACATACTGTTTAAGAGGTCCCTTGTTCACCAATTTTTATTTTTCATATTGCTTTCTTGCTGCCACTTAAGAGTTTTGAAATAATTATTAAGAATAAGATAGTGCATATCAGTTTAAACTTAATAAATACTGCACAAGTTTCCTTGGCAAAGGGCTTCTTTCCTTAGGACTCACTTCGTAGTTGTTGATGCATCTCTTTCATATCCACGTAATGGCATTTCTTTTCTATGATACTTATAGCCTTCAGAGAACATCAGCTTGCCAGCAGCCTTGAGGCAGAAAATGGAAGTTCCGTGTCTCAGACTGAGACTGTGTCTAGGCCTGTGCCATCCACCCAAAGTGGAGAGAGCACTCCACACTGGTTCTTGACCAACAGCGAGACATTTGCAGAAGTGGCAGGAAGCTCTGCTTCATATTCTGAAGTTGTGAACACTTCAGTTTTGACCCAGTTCTCGGACCCTGCTCCACAGCCTGGAGGAAGTAACACAGCGTTGGGTGATAGAATTTACTCAGAGTCTTCATTTACATCTTCCTCAGAAAGCCTGGATTCCTCAGTACCACGTGGAGAACGTTCCAGTGAGTTTTCGTTTTATACAACTGTACTACACAGATGGGAGAGGGACATATGATGCTTATGAAATCTGTGACAAATTAAAACCATGCATTAATGAAATAACGTCTCAGGCCCCTCTAGTTTCATTATTCCCAGACCATTTTCCTAGCTGGTTGATACAAATATATCTAAATATCCTCCAGCTTTTTCTAGTGCCTCTCCCAGAAGCTGTTGCTGCCACCTCCTCTTCCCATACACAGCTTAGGGATTCCTCTGTCCATGTCCTCCCATTCCCTGTAGCCTAACTCACATTCCCATTATGCCTCAATGACAGAGCTTCTGGAAGGTGAAAATGTCACCTTCTAGTGAGTTGTGGTCTGGACAGTCATCAGAAGGAGTTCTCCCCTTTTAAAAAAGCAGTTTTATTGACATATGATTCATGTTCCAGAGCATTTAACCATTTAAAGTGTACAGTTTAGTGGTTTACAGTATATTCACAAAGTCATGCAACCATCACTACTATCTGATTCTGGAACATTTCATCATCCTAAAAAGAAATCTCATATTTACCAGCAGTCACTTCCCATTCTGCCCTCCTCCCAGCCTCTGGCAACCACATCTGTACTGTCTCTGTGCCCAAATGCCCATCCTAGACATTTTCTATAAATGAAAATGTATAATATGTGGTCTTTGTGTCTTCTGCTTAGCATAATGTTTTCAAGGATTATCCACATTGTAGTATGTATCAGTACTCATTTCTTTCTTTGGCTGAATAACATTCCACGGTGTGGATATAACACATTCTGTTTACCTTTTCATCAATTGATGGATATTTAAACTGTTTTCATCTTTTGGCTGTTATGAATAATGCTGCGGTGAACATTCAGGTACAAGTTTTTATGTGAACATAAATTTTTAATTCTCTTATAATTCCAGGTTATATGGTAGGTCTATTTTTAACCTTTTGAGGAACTGCCAAACTGTAAAATGGCTACACTCTTTTATATTCCCACCAGCAACATACAAGTATCTCTACATCTTCACCACCACTTGCTATTGTTCATCTTTTTTGATTATAGCCACCCTAGAGGGTGTGAGGTGGCATCTTATTGTGGTTTTGGTTTGCATTTCCCAGCTGACTACTGATGCTGAGCATCTTTTCATGTGCTTATTGGCCATTTGTATATCTTCTCTGAATGTGTCTATTCAAATTTTTTTACTAGTTTTAAGTTGAGCTGCTTGACTTTTTATTATTGAGTTGTAAGAGTTCTTCGTATAGTCTGGATACAGTCCTTTTTCAGATATATAGTTTGCAGACATTTCTCCTATTCTGTGGGTTGTCTTTTTCACTTTCTCGATAGTATCATTTGTAGCACAAAAGTTTTAAATTTTAATGATGTCCAATTTATCACTTTGAGGAATCTTTCTTTTGGTGTTCCTTTTTAATAATGCTTTTGAGTAATTTTTGTAAACAATTGTCAGCAGTCTTATCAATGTAAGGTGGTTTCTCATTAAAGTAAAATGCATTAGCTTATTATTTAAGCTTTTAATAGGTTTAAATTCTGACCTCTCCACCACTGTAATAACAGCTCCATTTTCCCCAATGAGATTCCTCACTGATGAGGAAGATTAGCATTTATTACTACTCATGTGACGTGAAAAAGCATATGCTTATTGTGAAAGAATGCCACACACATGAGTGGAGGATATTTACACTTTTATGTCTGTGACTGCAAAACACATTATCTCCTAAACAAGAGGACTTATTTTCTACCCTCAGGACTTCACCTTTTCAAAGCAGGATCTTGGGGTCCCTAGTCTTTCCCTTTCCCATCTCTTCAGTACCCTTCCTTTCTGCACTTCATGCTTGGTTGGCTTAGTAGAAAATGTGATTTCAATGTGATCAGATCTTGGGGTTCAATTTATTTTATTTATTTATTTATTTTTGAGTTGGAGACTCACTCTGTCGCCCAGACTGGAGTGCAGTGGCCATTCCTGGCCACCGCAGCCTAGACCTGCTGGGCTATCCTTCCGCCTCAGCCTTCCAAGTAGCTGGAACTACAGGCGTGCGCTACCACGCCCGGCTAATTTTTGATTTATTGTAGAGATGAGGTCTCACCAAGTTGCCCAGGCGGGTCTTGAACCCACGGGCTCAGGCAATCCACTCACCTCAGCCTCCCAAAGGCGTGGGATTACAGGCTGAGCCACCGAGCCCAGCTCTTAGGGTTCAATTTAAAGAGCTAGGTAAGAAGTAGTTTCATTCTGGAAGCCAGCTCACTGTGGGTTATCACAAGGCTTTATCTCATTTCCTCAGTCACCCAAAGTTGACTGATTCTTCATCCAGCCTTTCAGAATTCTTAGTTCATTTCTTTTCCTGCTTTCAAATTCAAACCATTTCATGTCACGACTCTCGGCTTTGTTAAGCCTGTAACCCTGACATTGTTGTTTGCCTACATTTCATTTAACAGAGAGTTCAGATCTCCCTATCCAAAGCCTTTTTCTCTTTGCCTTGAGAACTTGTGCTCAAACACACCCTGATCTCGAGTCTCTCCTGGTTGGCTCTCCCTAGGTCTCTGGAGTCCTTCAGCCTGGCTCAACTCACATCTCTCTCTGGTTCCTGGCTTTCTCAGTTCTGCTTGAGGCCACTGTGTACCATTTCTGTCTCCGTTAATTCAAACCCATCCTGAAATGAATTTACCTAACACTCCAGCTGTACATCTGTTTTCCATCAAAGTGTGCCTGTGGGATAGCAAGGGCTGGTCTGGACTGGGGAGGGGGAATAAAAACCAGAAAAAGAATCAGTTTTCTCAGACAGCCAGATTATGAGGTATTTAGGCCAAAAAAGATTGGATCTCATTTTCATCATCTCTGAAAAGAAGGTTTTATTGGCTATAAACAATCTAAGGTAGTCCTAAGATTTTTTGATTGGGTAACCCTCTTTTGGCTCCCCTTCTGCTGCAGGAGCTTTTCTGTCTTCTTAATAAACTCTACTTTCTTACACACAAAAAAAATTCTTTTGATTTGTAGCACAAAACATATACCCAAAAGAGGAGGGGAGAGATATTTATTTATGACACATAAATAAATAAACACCAGCACTGGCATTTCTCTATTCCATCCTCATCAGTAAAATAAAGTAAATGCATTTTAAAAATAAAAGAAAACAAAAAAACAAGCCCTTCTTTCACTTTCAACGTTGTGCTGTCTCTCTGGTGAAGTACTAACACGCTATGGAATGACAGCCCTGTGGCCATTCACATGTCTCTGGTGCTACCAGGAGGAAGAGCTTCCCCGAGGAGGACCCTGTGCCTCCCTCCTGGGCCTTGTATGAATGTCTGAAGCTCCAGCAGTGTTGTTATTCCTTCACCCACTGTTCACCTCCCCTGCCACCACTGCCAATTTCCCTGACATAAACTCTATTTATTATGTATCACTGAGCAGAGATCCAGTATCGATCCTGTTCGCTAAGGTAATAAACCTTACCATAAATCTAGGGCACCTGGACAGGCGTACTGATACTCAGTTCCCCTTGAGGTTTTAGCCACTGATCTGCGTTTGCGAGAACAACACATCTCAGGTAAAGACCTTGAGAGCCCCAGGAAGCGGTGTGGCTCCCATAGCCCCAGAAGCGAGGCTGGCTGTATAATCCCGTCGCCCCACCCTGTGCTTATCAGCCACTCCTTTCACTCTTTTAGCGGTAGAAGACAGCCGTGAGCTGGGCGGAGAGCTGGGCACCAGGTCCCAGGATGCGGAGCACTGGACGTCCGGGGCTCCCTCTCTTGGTGTGCACACCTTGGCCACTGTCACCGGAAGCGGGGAGCGCATGCTGCGATCTCTCACCCTCACCAATGCCAGCACCGGCATTGCGGGGAGCTCTGCAGCGGCGCCCAGAGAAACAGAGAGCGTCCCACTGCACCTGAACGTGACCAACGATGCGGGCCTGATCTCACCGTCGCTAGCTTCCTCGAGCACCCTCGGAGGTAGTGTGTCTTCCTCAGAGTCTTCTAACACATCCCTTCAACTCATCTGTTCTTTTTTGTGTTTTAAGTCAATATCTCACTCTGTCACCCATGTTGGAGTGTAGGGGCACTATCAACAGACAGCTCACAGTAGTCTCCACCTCCTGGGCTCAGGCAATAACTCTGCCTCAGCCTCCCAAGTAACCGGGACTGCAGGCACCTGCCACCAAAACCAGTATATTTTTCATATAGTTGAGATCACACTGTGTTGTCCAGGCCGGTCTCAAACACCTGCACTCAAGCAATCCTCCTGCCTCAGCCTTCCAAAATTCTGCGATTACAGGCGTGAGTCACTGTGCCCACTGCTCTTTTTTAAATTATTATTTTTTTAGAGACTGGTCTCTCTCGGGTTACTCAGGCTGGAGTATATTGGCATGATGATAACTTGCTTCAGCCTCCAAATCTTGGGCTCAGGCGATTCTCCCACCTCAGCCTCCCGAGTAGCTGGAATTATACACCACCACACCCAGCTTATTTTTTATAGAGTCAAGATCTCGCTATGTTGTCCAGGTTGGTCTCAAACACCTGGGCTCAAGGGATCTTCCTGCCTCGACCTTCAAAAATACTAGGATTACAGGCATGAGCCACTGTGCTCAGCTGCTCTTTTTAAAATTATTATTACTTTTTTTTTTTTTTAAAGACAAGCCTCTCCCTGTTACCCAGGCTTAAGTACACTGGCATGATGATAGCTTGCTGCAGCCTCCATCTCCTGGGCTCAAGCAATTCTCCCACCTCAGCCTCCCGAGTAGCTGGGACTACAGGCATGGGCCACCATACTCAGCTAATTTTTTAACTTTTTATAGAGACGGAGCCTTACTATGTTGTCTAGGGTGGTTTTGAACTCCTGGCCTCAGGTAAGTGAACTTCCCAAAGGTACTGAGCCTCTGCCTTGGCCTCCCAAAATGCTGGGATTATAGGCATAAGCAACCGCTCCCAGCCACAAGCTTTTTATGAAGAGAACTTTCTAGGTTCTCCCACTTCGGGAAGTCAAACATCCCCCTCCACAAACCTCCCTCCACCCTGCTCCCACACATACTAAGAAGTTTGGGACAATGTCTGCTGGGAGACTTGAAAGAAACCAGCTACTTTGTGGCTAAGACAAATCTCCTGGGAAAGAAATATCTCATTATACAGAATGGAAAGTTGGGAGGGTTTTCCTTTTTCCATTTAGGTGTAACAGTTATTCTGTTTGGGGTCTTGAGAGCTTTTCAGATACCAATTTGCTTTTATCAAAAAAGGCATATGGACTGGGCGGTGGCTCATGCCTGTAATCCCAGTGCTTTTGGGAAGCTGAAGTAGAGGATCACTTGAGCCTAGGAGTTCAAGGCTTCAGTAGGCTGTGATCACATTGCAGCACTTCAGTTTGGACAACAGAGTAAGACCCTGCCTCAAAAACAAACAATAACAACAATAAAGGCATGTGGAAAGAATTTGGAACTGCTCTCCAGTTTTTAGGCCCCTAGGCCCCACTTTTCTTTTATTAACATTTCTACTGTTGCTACCACTGCTTACTCAAGAGTTTAGTCAGCTCAGAGTAGACACTGACCCTTCTTGCTTGCCTATACCATCTCTATTCAGATTGCTCACCATTGAAAACTACCTTGGCCAGGCTCCATTGCTCAGCCTGTAATCCCAGCACTTTGGGAGTGGATTGCCTGAGCCTGCGGGTTCGAGACCCACCAGGGCAACTTGACGAGACCTCGTCTCTACAAAAATTAGTCAGGCGTAGTAGTACACGCCTGTAGTTCCAGCTACTTGGAAGGCTGAGGCGGAAGAATCGCCGGAGCCCAACAGGTCGAGGCTGCAGTGGCCGGGAGCGTGCCACTGCACTCCAGTCTGGGCGACAGAGTGAGACTCCAACTCAAAAAAAAAAACAAACAGAAAAAAAACCACCTCTCCAAAGAAAGTGTTTCACCCACTTGAGTTCATGGATACGACATTGAAAGTCTGTTTTATAGTGTGTGTTTCAGAGATTTATTGTTTATTTGACCTCACTTTGACTTTTCTCTTTGCAGTCACTGGAACTAGCTATGGTCAAGTGAGCGGCACAGATCCAGAACGAAGGACTTCCAGCCACCACACAGACCATACCTACGTTTCATCTACTTTTACCAAAGGAGAACGGGCATTGCTGTCCATTACAGATAACAATTCATCCTCAGACATCACGGAGAGCTCGACCTCTTATATTAAGATCTCAAACTCTTCACATTCAGACTATTCTTCCTCTTCTCATGCTCAGACTGAAAGAAGTAGCATCTCTTCCTATGATGGGGAGTATGCTCAGCCTTCCACTGAGTCACTGGTTCTGCATACTTCCAATCTTCTACCCTACACACCCACCGTTAATATGCCAAACACAGCGGTTGTTCTAGACACCGATACTGGGTCTGTTGGTGACTCATCTTCTTCTTCGGTGCCTCCTTTGCCGTTGTCCTCAGTGTCGCAGTCCCACCAGTTGTTCTCATCAACCCAACCATCAACCAGGACCTCTATGAATCTGCTGAAGTCTACCTCTGATGCATCCATACCTTTGTCTTCCTCACCGTCACCTTTATCAGTATCCTTGACAGCATCTACCCCTACTTCACTGTCTGTCTCACAAGCAACCTTACCACATTCATCTCCTTCCCCAGTGCTGTCCAGGGAAAGGGAGACTCCTGTGACTTCAGTTTGGTTGTCGACAATGGCATCATCCATGGCAATGTTCCGCAGCAGTCAAACAGCAGACCCTGAGAACCAGAGTACCCCACATCACAAGAAAATCATTACAGAATCAAAATCACCAAGCCTTGTGCTCCTGCCCACAGCATCCACCAAAGCTATAACAATGGGCTCTCCTGCAGAGGTCTCTTTCCCTCCATCCTCAAAGGAGTCTTTCACAGAGCAAACCCTTCCAACCACAAGCACCAGCTTAGCCCAAATGCCTCCAGCTTTGATGACCACCACTCTTGAGACCCCTCATCCTCCTGTCATCACTCCCAGCATCCCATCAAGCACAGCATCTCGGATCACTGATCCTGTAGCTGTAGAGACTACAACTGGAAAACAGCTTTTACCAACCCATCCAGACATTCTGGGGCCACAAATCTCAACAGAAGGTGCTGTCAGCACAAAAAGGAACCAGGTGCACATAGATACTACTACCAGATTGATCCCTCTGACCAGTGTATCTACGTCAGCAAAAGAATTGACCACGAGGCTTGGCATTGCAAAAGAGTATAGCCCAACTTCACATTTCCTCAGAACATCTCCTTCTCCCCAAACCACAGATGTTCCTACGACTGAAACGTTGACTCCTGAATCTGCCACCTTTGCTGTTCAGAACAGCACACAGTCAACAACAACATCATCCTCTTCAACCTCAGGTAAGATGCAGTCTCACAAGCACACGCTGGCTGCTAGACCCCATTCAGCACTGAGAACTGCATGGGGCTCAGGTTTATATGAATGTGTGGAAATGACTGATATATGAAATAACTTCTGTTTTGTGACCTAAAATGCTTCCTGTTGAAACACTGGAAGCCTAAAAGAAGGTCACAGCGGATCTAGTTTTCTCGCCTCCGAGTTATATAAGTCTTCCTAAAGAAAGAGGAGAGGAGGCACTGACCTTGTTGTGATGTCACTAGATGGTACAATTGCAACTTCTAATGCCCTGTAGTTGTAAGACTTTCCAAGCATGCCTCTGAGGTCAGAGCAGGGCAGTGGTATGGGATTGGAGGGTGGAGAAACCAAAGGAAAGAAGCTTTAGGTGGCCTCTCTGAAATGGGTTGATTTGAGTGCCTGCTCCTAGATCAGAGCCCAGGGTCTCTGAGTCAGTCTCCCAGTCACCAGGGAGTTCTTAAAGTCAGAGGGCTTCTGTTGATTCGCAGAAGCCCGAGAGCCTTTGTTTTCCAAAGAGTATATTGCTCGTTGATAAATGGTGGACAAGCACATTAAAAGATGATGATCTTAACTTTTCTCCCCACGGCTGCATGACCAGGACTCCTTACGCTGAACGTAGTGGCTATCTTTATAAGTTACTGGTACAAGGAACATGAGGCCGTCCAAACAATCCTTTGTTACTTAAGGAATGGTAGAAGGAAATGGGATGATATATCTTTTGATGTCATGTTCAGAATTGCATTTCTGGCTTGCCCAGACCCAAGGAAAGAAAACTGCTACTGGAGAAGGGATGAAATGGAAACCAGAAGAAGGAAAGGTCAGAGATGCTCTGTAGTGGCTGGGGCAGTATCCAGCTAGGCAGCCACAGTCAAGTTGGCACCAGAGACTCATAAGCCACCCCTGCCGCCAACCTATAGTTCCCCTCTGTACCAGTAATCTGAGCACCTCTGGGAAATGAAAGGTGCATCCTTCTTCAGGGAAGTTTAGGAGCCTTGTTTCAAGGCTCATAGCCTTCATTTTTAGAGGCCAAATACATTCCAATACCAGATGGACTGTAATTCACAAGTCTCCCTTAAAGCCAATTATAGCCATTTTGATGATAACTATAGGTGAGTATTAGGAGCAGATTCATGGGTTGTTAATATTTGTGTGTGTGTGTGCCAGTGTTCATGGGTACAGTGTTTGGTTATAGTTGCCATGCCTGTATAGGCGATTTTAGGTAATACTTAAAGTAGCAATGAAGATGGGATAGCATCTTTAGTTTACTCTGTTTGTCTTCAGGGTTTTTCTTTTTTTTTGGAGTGCAGATCTTGAATTCTGCCCTCTTTCTCTCATTCTACCACTGCTTTCCTCCTTGCAAACAATGCAGTTATGTTGTAGATTTCAACTTTTCTAAATTGTGTCAGAAACCCTTATGAAACAGTTATGTAATATCTCTGATCATTTTCTATACGATGCCCAGTATGTGGCATTCAATTTAAATTTGGAGATATTTGAATAAAGGATACTATGTTTTGTTTTGTTTATGTTTTTTGAGTCAGGGTCTCACTCTGTCACCCAGGCTGGAGTGCAATGGCATGATTACAGCTCACCACAGCCTCCTTCTCTTGGGCTCAGGTGATCCTTCTGCCTCAAGCCTTCAGAGTAGCTGGGACTACAGGCGTGTGCCACCACACACAGATAATTTTTTGATTCTTTGAAGAGATGAGGTCTTACTATGTTGCATAGGCTGGCCTTGAACTCCTAGTTTCAAGCGATCCTTCTGCCTTGGCTTCCCAAAGTGTGGGGATTGCAGGGCATGAGCCACCATGTCCCACTTATACTGTGGTTTTGATCAAGAAAGTCTAAGGGGAAAGACAGGGTGTGTGTGTGTGTACACGTGCACACACATACACACAGAGTAAATCTTGCAGCAGGGAGGATGAATTGATCAGAGATCCTTTCCCCTCTTACTGTGTGTTTTAAACTGGTATTGATTTAAGAAGGTTTTGACAAAGAAAGTCTAAGAGGAAAGACAGGGGGTGTGTGTGTGCGCATTTCCCCTCTTACCATGTGTTTTAAACTGGTATTGATTTAAGTAGTATTTTCTAACTATCACAAAGGCAATATAATTATCAGTCCTGAACTGAGTGACCTGTAAGTAGCATTTGATTTGAATCAGTTCTCGTATTCAGGGATCCCATTGTCTAACACTTATAAATGGGCACTAACTAGTGCCAGTGCCCACTGCACCTGTCTTCTGCACCTCTTGGGAACCCATTCTATTTTAGTAGTGTGACCTTTCAGGGCAAGTAAACAGAAATAAGCAAGAATCAAACATTAGCTGGGAGAATTAAATATTTACCTAGTGCTGCCTTTACATTTCCTGTGTGGTTAACTGCTTTATTCCTGGAATGTGTTTCTAGTCAGCAGCTGTGCCATGAACCCTTGTCTTCATGATGGCAAATGTATCGAGGACCCCACCCATCGTGGCTATCACTGTGTGTGCTTGCCTTCCTGGCAAGGGGATGACTGCAGTGTGGGTAAGAGAAAAAGTAGTGTCCAGCGGTCCGTGTTATACATTGGCTTAGTCCCTAAACATCTATAGCATATTGGGTTAGTGCCTAAACTCCTTTTGCTTCCAAAATGTGGATGAATTAAGGTTTTAGAGAGCACACTCATGTGCTGTCTTCTGGATAACATGAGGCACTGTGGTGTGTCACTGACGAACTTCCTGATCTGGGTCCATTCTGTGGACTTCCAACACTCCTGCCACACGAGACCACCTGCAGCTCCCTAAAGAATCCTACACTTTTCTGTCTTGGCCTTTACTGTGCTGGTGCCTCAGCCTAGAACCCCCGTCTAGCAACCAAAACTGTTTATTAAAGTCTTTCCAGTTGTTGTTAAAGTCTCTCCAATCTAGATGTTATTTGAAATAGTCCTTCATTCTCTTCTCCATCAAAATTTGCTATTTTCAGCCAGGCTCGGTGGCTCAGCCTGTAATCCCACGCCTTTGGGAGGCTGAGGTGAGTGGATTGCCTGAGCCCGCGGGTTCCAGACCCGCCTGGGCAGCGAGACCTCATCTCTACAATAAATAAAAAAATCAGCTGGGCGTGGTAGCGCATGCCTGTAATTCCGGCTACTTGGAAGGCTGAGGCGGAAGGATCGCCGGAGCCCAGCAGGCGAGGCTGTGGTGGCCGGGAGCAGCCGCTGCACTCCAGTCTGGGCGACAGAGTGAGACTCCAACTCAAAAAAAAAAAAAAAAAAAAATTTGCTATTTTCTCAGTACATGCAAACCCTGCCTTGTATTTGTAGTTAGTTGTTTATATGGCTTCTTCCATCCTGAGTAGATGGTGAGCCCCTTGAGGACAAGGGTGGCCTCTTACTCATCCTGGGGATCCATGGCAGCTAGCACCATTTGGCCCTTAGTAAGTACTTAACTGCACTGGGTTATGGTTTTGCTGTCTGCTACAGATTCCATCTGGTCTTGCTTTTTCTCCTCTGCAGATGTGAATGAATGCCTCTCGAACCCCTGCCCGCCCCTGGCCATGTGCAACAATACTCAGGGATCCTTTCTCTGCAAGTGCCCAGTCGGGTACCAGATGGAAAAAGGAATATGCAATTTGGGTAAGAAAGTCTATCTTGGAATTTATTCTATACACAATATATTTTTCAAAGTAATGTTTACTACTTTTCTTCCAAATCAAAATCAGTATTTGTTCAAGCTATAAACTTAAATAATATAGATGGATGTGGTAGCTCATGCCTGCAATCCCAGCACCCTGGGAGGCCAAGGCAGGAGGATTGCTTGAGCCCAGGAGTTCAAGACCAGCTGAGGAAACCTCATCTCTACAAAAGATCAAAATATTAGCTGGGTATGGTGGTGTATGCCTGTAGTCCCAGCTACGCAGGAGGCTGAGCCAGAAGGATTGCCTGAGTCTAGGAAATCAAGGCTGTGGATTCTGTGATCATGCCACTGCATTCCAGCCTGGGTGACAGAGTGAGACTCTGTCTCAATAATAATAATAATAATAATAATAATAATAACTAAACTTAAGGAATATAGAAGGCAATGGGAAGACATTGCCTAGTATTCCAACACTCAGAAATATAACACCTTACTTTGCATTATTTTTTTGATGTTCATAACATTTTTATGTGGTTGAAATCATATTTTTACAAACTATGTATCTTAAACATTTTCTTATATTATTAAAAAATTATACCGACATCTTATTGACAGCATAATATGCCATCATTTGTATATAACATTATTTGCTTATCCATCCCACCCTGCATTAAGAAAAAAACATATCGAAAGGCTATTCTGACTACATAGTTTAAAAGTAAAGCAGTAGTTACGGAGAGGAAAAAGAGAAAATCCTGAATGTCCTGATTCACATGTTTTTGAATTTTTAAACATGGTCTTGCGGGGCGTAGCAGCTCAAGCCTGTAATCCCAGTAATTTTGGGGAGGCCTAGGCGAGAGGATTGCCTGAGCTCAGGGGTTCAAGAACAGTGTGAGCAATTTGGTGAGATCTCATCTCTACAATAAATCAAAAAATTAACCAGGAGTGGTAGTGTGCGCCTGTAGTTCTAGCTACTTGGAAGGCTGAGGTGGAAGGATTGCCTGAGCCTAGCAAGTCAAGTCTGCAGTAGCTGTGAGTGTATCATTGCACTCCAGCCTGGGCGACAAAGTTAGCTCCAACTCAAAAAAAAAAAGGGTCTTTATGTCCTTGTCCACAGGCAGATATGTTTGGCCAAAGCTGCTATCACAATTATAACACACAATTTGTCCTTTTCCCCCTAATTTGATAGATTCATGAAGCTGGTTGATTTTAAATACAATCTCCATTTCATAGGTTAAAGCACAAGTGAACAAACCAAATGAAAACCAAGGTCCTAGCCGGGCTCGGTGGCTCAGCCTGTAATCCCACACCTTTGGGAGGCTGAGGTGAGTGGATTGCCTGAGCCCGCGGGTTCGAGACCCGCCTGGGCAGCGAGACCTCATCTCTAAATCAAAAAATCAGCCGGGCGTGGTAGCGCATGCCTGTAACTCCGGCTACTCGGAAGGCTTAGGCGGAAGGATCGCCGGAGCCCAGCAGGTGGAGGCTGCGGTGGCCGGGAGCGGCCACTGTACTCCAGTCTGGGCGACAGAGTGAGACTCCAACTCAAAAAAAAAAAAAAAAAAAAAAGAAAATCAAGGTCCTGACAAGGTGCTAAGTGGCCAAGTTGATGTCACTGTTTGATGAGAGGCTACTTTGCAGCCTACAGCTCTTTCTATCATATATGCAGAATATGTTCCTTGTTAGAATTTAAGACATAACTTGTTGAAGAAATTAGAAATGAAAAATACAAAGTTTCTAAGTTAGGTAAGGAAACTGGCAGGTAAAAATGACTCATCTTTGAGTCATCTTAAATTGCCCAGTGTATATTTAACACAAAAAGTTTGTGCAGTAGATATTTTTGAGAGAGCAAATGTCTGTGTCCTTTGAAAGTGCTATTACGGCAGGACACAGTGGCTCAAGCTTGTCATCCCAGCACTTTGGGAGGCCAAGGTGAGAGGATTCCAACCTGGGTAACTTGGTGAGACCTTGTCTCTACAATATATCAAAAAATTAGCTGGGCATGGTAGCATGCCTGTAGTTGCGGCTACTTGGAAGGCTGAGGTGCAAGTATCACCTGAGCCCAGCAGGTCGATGCTGGGGTGACCATAAGTGTGCTACTGCACTCCAGCCTGGGTGACAGGGTGAGACTAACTTTAAAAAAAAAAGAAAAGAAAAGAAAGTGCTATTACAAGTAGGCTGAAGGAATGTTTTAAGAAAGTTACTATCCTACTAAAACAAAGGTAGAATTTTAAAAATCGTTTAAAATACAAGACTTGAGTCCAAGCATTATTCAAAGAAGAATCTAGAAATACAGGCATCTGTTAAAATTAAGACTTCCTCTTATTCTAATACTTTATTTGCATTTGGATAACCTATTCCATTTAGCCACACCCTATAAGAAATATGCCAAGAGTTTTCAGTTTAAGAACAGAGAAAATGGAAATGATTTTGTTTTGAAGCACAGTGGAAAGTACATGAGTGACTTGCTTCCAGGACTTGAGTGACTTGCTTCCAGCTCTAGGGCTGCCACCCACAGCACGTGTCTCCTGAGCCTAATTTCCTCATCTGTAAAATCAGATTACTGTCTGCTCTGCTTCCCACTCAGGGTAACTGTGAAAATCAAATAAAAAATAATGTATTTGACCAAGCTTTGAAAATGGTAAAGGGCTGTCCAGATGGGAGGTATCATTTAACATTAGTCTTCAAACTCTTGGACCAGAATTGAAAGCAATGAAAACAATAAACTACCCTGCATACAGGGTAATAATTATGGATATCTCAAAAAAAAAAACCCATTTAGATAACATAGGGAAATCAGTTAAATCTGAAGTAAAAATTCAACTTAAAGGCAAATGATGTAACTGCAAGCATGAAGTATCAATGTATTCAAAAACAAACAAAAAAGCCCTGCTTAGAGAGAGTGGAAACGCTTAGAAGGAGACTGATGCATCTTCATTTTTACGCTGAAAGCAGAGGCCACGTTTACCGTGAGAGCTGTGTGCCTGACATTTACAATGTGAACTTCTATAGAGAGAGTCTGGGTGTCAACCTAGATATGTGAGATGCAAAACTGAAGGAGAGCCGGGCTCAGTGGCTCAGTCTGTAATCCCGCGCCTTTGGGAGGCTGAGGTGAGTGGATTGCCTGAGCCCGTGGGTTCGAGACCGCCTGGGCAGCGAGACCTCATCTCTACAATAAATCAAAAAATCAGCCGGGTGTGGTAGCACATGCCTGTAATTCCGGCTACTTGGAAGGCTGAGGCGGAAGGATCGCCGGAGCCCAGCAGGTCGAGGTTGCAGTGGCCGGGAACGGCCACTGCACTCCAGTCTGGAGTGAGACTCCAACTCAAAAAAGAAAAAACTGAAGGAGAAGCGTAGCTGTTCTGGAAGCTCATGTGCAGAGTGTCCCACAGGTAGCACGGATCAGAGGGAGAGCAGCTCAATTGCGGTCACAATCATCATTCCCTTTTCAAGTCATTTAGCTTCATTGTTCATAAACATCAGAGAAACATGCAAATTAGAACATGCTGAAATGCTTTCATTTGGCCAAGAATGTTTTCAAAGAGCTCCCTGCTGCTCAGAAAGAGTCCTTAGCAGCTGGCTTCACTGAACTGTAGAACAAGCAAAAAGATGTTAAATAAGGATTAAGGGCTTTAGACAGTTAAGTATAAGATGTTAAATGTTTTCCCTGGTTCATTCATGGGCCTCTTTCTTAATTCATCATGCACGTTTTTGGTGAAAGAGTAGCTTCATGGACTTCTGTGTTTTGAGTTATATTTTTTTTCTGTCTAGAGGAAAAGATAACAATTTAATATAAAAGAAGATAAGAGCCAGATATAAAGCATGCTGTATTCATTTTTGGTTGCTTGCCCATTTGTAAGTCCCATTCCTCTCAGGCCCAATCAACACAAATTGGTGTTAACTAGAATGTTAGTTTATGAGTGAACTGGGCCTTGGAAATGGGACTGCTTTCATTTCTGAACCCACAGTGTCTTAGTATGGGTTGTTTTCATTACATATGTGGCTTATGTTCATGGAGTCTGGCAGCCTCCTGACCCCCTACAGATGTTCAGCACCTTTCTCTGAAGCCTTGTGGTGGTCCTAGTAATATCAGATTCCCTAGGGCACAGAAGGTTTAGGAGAAAGAATAACTTCGAAGAAGGACACACATGAGCCCGAATGCTAATTTTGACCCTTGGGAGCCTGGGTGATCTTTCTTAGGAAGTTGCCCAGCTTCTGGAAACCCCTTTTAGCAATGATAAAGTGGATATTTCCTCTGAGCAAGAGGAATGGGGTTTGGATGGAGGGGGCTCTAAGGAGAAGAGGAAACCAAAGTACCCCGTTGAAGTTGAGGACATGACTTGGTTAAAGATCTCAGAGAGTGAGAGCTTTCTTCTGTTTGAAGACTTACGAGGCCTAGCAAGGATTTTCAGTGTCTAGCACCATATCTCCCCCTGCTCCTGCTAGGATTACATTTTTAGAACTGCTCATCTTCCTTCTTCTTCTTCTTCTTTTTTTTTTTTTTTGAGTTGAGGGTCTCACTTTGTCTGGAGTGCAGTGGTGTGATCACTGCACAATCACAGCTCACAGCAGCCTGAATCACCCAGGCTCGGGTGATCCTTCCACCTCATCATCCCAAGTAGCTGGGACTGTAGGCACATACCACTACACCCAGCTAATTTAAAAAAAAAATTTTTTTTGGTGGAGATATGGCTCTTGGGTTCAAGCAATCCGCCCACCTTGGCTTCTAAAAGTGCTGAGATTACAAGTGTAAGCCACTGGGCCCAGCCACATCTTTCATCTTTGTCATAACTTTATTGGGCATCTATTATGTGGGAGGCCATCCCAGGGAGATCCTTCTCTCAGCAGCCCTCGCACATACACAAAAGGCTCCTTGGAGTCTCTCTCCCAAAGTTGTGCCCAATCTAAGCTTTCAGCTCAGCCCAGCAGATGCTCACATTGCTAGAGAGAAACCTAGGAGAGGGAGAGGAGGTCTGCACCCTCAAGGAGAAAGAAACGCACGTATTATCCTCTGAAGAGGAGTAAAGCTAGATACCTCAGGGACTTGAAAACACACAGCTGGCTGGGCTTGGCTCAGCCTGTAATCCCAGCACCTTGAGAGACCAAGGCGAGTGGATTGACTGAGACTGCAGGCTCAAGACCAGCGGGTTCGAAACCAGCCCGGGCAACTTGGCAAGACCTTGTGTCTACAATAAAAAAAAAAGTTAGCTGGGTGTGGTTGCACACACCTGTAGTTCCGGCTACTTGGAAGTCTGAGGTGGAAGGATCGCCGGAGCCCAACTGGTTGATACTGGGGTGGCTGTGAGTGTGCCACTGCACTCCAGCCTGGGCGACAGAGTGAGATGTCAACTCAAAAAAAAAAGAAAAAAGTAAACAAATAGGCTTGCATAGATTTTTCTGTTGTGTGAGCTAACAGGTTACATTTTCATTTTCAGTTAGAACCTTCGTGACAGAGTTTAAATTGAAGAGAACTTTTCTGAATACCACTGCAGAAAAGCCTTCAGACCTACTTGAAGTTGAAAATGACATCACCAAAACGGTAAATTTCCTGAAAGGCAACTTCATGCTGTTTCCTAGAACAGATTTTATTCCAAGTTGGGGACCGCCTAGAGATTACTGTATCTCCTGGGCTCTTCACTTCTATTATATTTGGAAGGGAAACTTCATGGTAAAATAAAAAGCCTTTCAGAAATAGAAGAGAGGGTGTTGAGAACAAGTGGTGCCCACTAGAAGTGTTTCTTCAAATGCGTCCCCATGTGCAGTCTTTATATGTGACTTGGTGTTTCTGTTCCATGAGCAAACTCATAGTCACAGACATATAGATGACATACACCGATAAGAGCTGTTGGTGAAGAGGAAGGACCCAGAAAATCCTACCATCCCATCTGCTGTTGACGTCTGTGTGACTTTCTCCTTGTGTTTTGGAGCCTGGGGAGAATGATGCTCTTTTTTGCCTCAAGGGATGTCAAAGGCATAACAGTGAATCCTGATCATGTAGGGGTTGATTGTATAGATCATCGAAGGGCCTTTGACTCTTCTTCTTTCCCTCTTTGCCTATGTCTTGTCAGACAACTTTTTTTTTTTTGAGTTGGAGTCTCATTCTGTCGCCCAGACTGGAGTGCAGTGGCCGCTCCTGACCACCGCAGCCTCGACCTGCTGGGCTCCGGCGATCCTTCTGCCTCAGCCTTCCAAGTAGCTGGAATTACCGGCATGCACTACCACGCCCAGCTGATTTTTTGATTTATTGTAGAGATGAGGTCTCGCTGCCCAGACGGGTCTCGAACCCGCGGGCTCAGGCAATCCACTCACCTCAGCCTCCCAAAGGCGTGGGATTACAGGCTGAGCCACCGAGCCCGGCTCAGACAACTTTTAAAAAGAAAAATGGAGAGGAACATGAAGCTCAGGTAATACATATTGCTTCTGAGCTGCTACCTGAGTCAAAGATTTTGTTTTCAGAAAATTGAAATTTGCCATTAAAAAAAGTTTTAGAGATTAATTGATTTCTGATTTCAATTTGACTTGTTCTTTGTTGATAATAGTACATTAGCCAAGAACTATATATTTCTATAGAATTATGGATTTTATTTGTGTAAAACACAGATTCCAATTCTATTTCTGTATCTACTGAGCATCTACTCTGTGACAGGGACTATGCCAGACGCTCACTCCTGTCAGAGGTATTGCCAGCACCTCTACACATAGAAACTCGGTAGAATCTGGAAGTGAATGACATTGCCTGAGTCACACAGAGCAGGTGCAAAGTTGGGGAGCAGTCCTCCAGACCACCCTCACTACTGATACCACCTGCAAGTTCGGAATCCCCAAGACCACCCTCAGTTTCAGTAGTTCACTAGAAAGAGTCACAGAACTCACTGAAAGCCATTATACTCATGGCTATGGGTTTTTTTGTTTGTTTGGTGTTTTTTTCTTTTTTTTTTGAGTCAGAGTCTCACTCTGTCGCCCAGTCTGGAGTGTGGTGGCATGCTCATGGCCACTGCAACCTCAACCTGCTGGGTTCCGGTGATCCTTCCGTTTCAGCCTTCCAAGTAGCTGTAACTATAGGCATGCTCCATCCCGTCCGGCTAATTTTTCTTGACTTATTGTAGAGATGAGATCTCGGCCAAGTTGCCCAGGCTGGTTTCAAACTCTTGGCCTTAGGCAGTCCTCTCACCTCGGCCTCCCAAACTGCTGGGATTATAGGTGTGAGCCACTGTGCCTGGCCTGGCTATGTTTTTTTGTTTTTTGTTTTTAAACTGAACATCAACAGGTTAAACTCAGCCAAGAAAAGAGATGGTGGGCAGAGCTCCCTCCTGTCCTCTCCCCCTGACGGTGTTAACTCCTCTTAGCAACAAGGTAGGACAATATGCACAGAATGTTGCCAACCACAGAAGCTCACCTATGTCTTGGAGACTAGAGCCTTGATTGGGTCTCAGTCATGTAGACAGGGTTGACTGCCCATAGGACTGACCTCAATCTCTAGCTCCTCTATAGGTTGAGCTGATACCATGTTACCCAAATTAGACTCTCTGTCATGGTCCAGGGCTCCCAGGTAAACAAAGCCATTTTTATTAGGCGGGGCATTCCAAGGGTTTACAGATTACCTCCCAGGAGCCAAGGACAAAGGCCCAACCTCTCTTTGGCCAAGGTTAAATTCTTTACTACACAACAGGGATTTGTGTCTACTAATCCTACCCCTTGTCGCTCCATCAGCTGCCTCTTGGTCGAGCTGTGGGCAGATACTTCCTCCTAAGACAGTACAGGGTTTAGAACTCCGTGTAGAAGTGCAGTTCATCATGTTACACGGTGCGCAGTGACTCACCTGACTTATTTGTTTGCCCAGCATCAACATATAATTTACTGTAATGTGACACACCTGCTCCCAAGAAGTACATAGCGAAGATTGATCAGGGAGACTGGTCTTTCCCAAGATGTTATTCTGTTTACCCATACCTGGAAAAACAAGTTAATAATAAAATAACATTAATATGTCATTGCTATTAGAATATAAAGCAATGTCATACAAAGCCACAAAGGGTTTGAGAATGTCCCATGATTGACTCCTTCTAAAGAGTGAGGTAACTCTGAGGCAGAGGCCTTGGAGCCAGGTGGGTCCGCACTGGACAAAGTACCGAGACCCTCTGCTCTGTGAAAGGGCCTCCAGCCCCTGTTGTGGAGGGGAACAAGAAAGCAAGCATGAGATGTTATTTTCTGCTCTCTCTGGGGACACAAGGCAAACACAGGGAGAGTAGCTCTTAATTTGCTCTCAACAAAAGGACTCTTGACCCACGGAGTGTGATTTCCCATGGGGAGCCTTTCTGAAGAAGACCTGTCTCTGAGTGAGGTCGACTCATTGTAGACGAGAAGGAGTCCTTATAGGGCCTGTCAGACCTGGGGCTGCTGAGGGGAGCTGAGCCCTTTCAACGCAGCTCACTCACTATGCAGAGTCCAAATAAACAGTTCCCTGTGAGTTTCTTGAAACCCGGGGCCTTAGAAGCGATCTGCTCCTTTGAAGATGTTTTGCATCCAAGGGTGCTTTTCTGAACATCATTTCCTGCCAAGATTTTCCCCACTGATTTACTCTCTGCCTCTTTCCCTTTGTACTCATGGAACAACAGAACGGCATTTAAGAGGGGAACAAAAAAAAGGACACCACTTCTGTGTAGAGCAGCCTGCTGATAACTTGATGGCTGGAAAAATGCCTGTTGTATCCTGAAAATAGGAAATTGGTTCTAGGTCCAAGGCTTTTGTCTAATCACAGCTAACGACAGACTTGTTCTTCCTTTCAGCTCAACGTGTGTTTTTCAGTGTTACCTGGTTATATTCGATCTACAGTGTTTGCTTCTAGGTAAGTAACAGAATTACATTTGGTTGTGAGCCAGTCAGTAGAAAGGGGAGGCTGTCCTACCATGAGTGATGGCAACAAAATGGGGCCATGTTTTGACCAAGCCATGGGGTGACCCAGGGCCAGTGTCACTGGACCTTTATGCGCTCCCAGCCCCTCACTGGAGAATGGCGATGATACTCATTTTCCAAAAGCCCTGTGACCGATGTGTCATTTGAGGACAATTAAAAACCCACCAACTTTGCCTATAGGGAGTCCGGCGTGGTGGTGATCTCACTGCAAACAACCTTTTCCCTGGCCTCCAATGTGACGCTGTTTGACCTGGCCGACAGGATACAGAAATGTGTCAACTCCTGCAGGTCCTCCGCCGAGGCCTGCCAGTACTTGGGCTCTCACAGGCGGATCTTTAGAGGTAAGAGAGGCCCTCTGGGAGGAGCCTGCTCATACAGTTGGGCATGAGTCTAGGACAGAAGTGTAAAGCATGCAGGGGTCAGGCCCAAGAAACCTCCTCACAGAACCTCTTTTTCACATGAGTGTTCAGCAAAAGGCCTTCATGTGTATGCTCCTTTGTGTTTGTGTGCATGCATGGACACACATGGGCACACACACACATACACACACACACACACATATACACAGAGTCCTGTACACACACAACCTTGGGGGCACCTGGTCCTTGGCATGTGGCTCCTTCTAGCTCTTCTATCCAGTGTTGAGGTGGGGAGAGGAGGGATATAGGAACTGATAGAGCAAAGCAAAAATCCCTCTTCTCTCCCTTCGCTCTCTGGGGAGGCAGAAACTCACACAGAATGTACATGCTTGTCAGTAATCCACAAAGCCTTCATCATGATATACTGTTAAGTAAAAAAATATGTGCAGTATTGCCACCTTTTTGTTTGTTTGCTTACACCTTATAAATGCATAGAAACAAGACTAAAAGAATGTAGGTCTGGTGCTCACAGTGGTGTTGGAAATGATGATGTTCCTTTTCTTGTTCTTGCTTTGTCTGTTTTGCCAGAAGCTTTTATGGTGCATCTAGTACAAGGCCAGTGAAGAAAGGAATTAAAGACAATGAGTTTGGAAGGCAGATTTGGGTCTTGGAGGGGAAATTTTACCTCTGGGATGAGAAAACCACACTGGAAGCCAAAACACTTCTTTGCAAAAAGGGCTTATCTGAGTCGCTGCATCATACATGATCAGAGCTAGCTCATTGTACTACACAGTTAGGGCTGGCAAAGGAATCTAGTCTAAACCTCCCATCTGGCATCCAGATGCTGGCCATGAGCTGAAAGTATCAGGTTTTGGTGCCTTATCTACTGGTAGATCTACAACATTCCCTGTGGGTTGGGGTTGTGTAACTGCTAGTCCGGAGATCCTTCGTGAATGGGCCTATATGTTGCAGGGCTTGGGAGCTGGTTAGTTAACCTTTCACTCTGGAATAAGCACTGAAGGTTGGGCCACTTAAGGCTAGTTATTAATTTGGAAAGAGCTAAACTTTCTGGAGTTGAAGTTGCTATTGATTGGAGAGTTAACTAGAAAGTTCATGCCCCATTATATTGTGCTCAAAACTTTGAGGCTTTTTGGGCTGGGCATGGTGGCTCACACCTGTAATCCTGCACCTTGGGAGGCCAAGGTGAGAGAATTGCCTGAGCCCAGGAGTTTGAAGCCAGCCTGGGCAACATGGCAAGACATCGTTTCTAAATACATGAAAAAATTAGCTGGGCATGGGTGCACACCTGTAGTCCCAGCTACTTAGAGAGGCTGAGGAGGAAGGATCACCTCAGCCCAGAAGGTCAAAGGGCAGTGGCTGTGACTGTGTCACTACATTCCAGCCTGGGTGAGAGACTCCAACTCAAAAAAAAAAAACAAAAAACAAAACCTTTCAGACTTTTTGGTTTTACTTTTTTGTTTCTCTTGCCAAGGATTTAAGGGTACCAAGTTTTTCTCATTGTAGGAAGGATACTTTCCAACTTACTAAATTTTTATGGAATATATTCTGTGTGGTCAGCGTTGTATCAGGTTACTTTTTGGTCTCCAGTAAATACATTAATGCCTTGCAAATGCATTAATGCCTCTGAGCATACGTGGCCAGATATTTGGCTCTTAGCAGCCCTGCCACCCTCTGACCCCTATTCCTCTGACTGCTGGATGTGGCTTATGGAAAAGCCCATATCGTCCTTGCTTTCCCATTCTTTACTTGTTCTCTCAGAGCCCCAAGGACAAAGACAGCAGTGGATATTGGCTGAAAACAGGCTCACTTCCTCCCTCAACTTCTCCAGGGTTTGCCAGTCACACCCAGCCTGGTCTAACCTTTTTTTTTTTTTTTGAGTCGGAGTCTCACTTCTGTCACCCAGACTGGAGTGCAGTGGCCACTCCCGGCCACCGCAGCCTCGACTTGCTGGACTCCCGCGATCCTTCCACCTCAGCCTTCCAAGTAGCTGGAACTACAGGCGCGTGCTACCACACCTGGCTAATTTTTAATTTATTGTAGAGATGAGGTCTTGCCAAGTTGCCCAGGCGGGTCTCAAACCTGCAGGCTCAGGCAATCCAGTCACCTCAGCCTCCCAAAGGCATGGGATTACAGGCTGAGCCACCGAGCCCGGCTGATCTAACCTTTTTGAGTGCTGGAGAGGTGGCCTTGACAATCCTGACATCTGGGTGTTTCCTTCCTCGGGGCATTGCTGGGCTACTGTGGACACTGCCACGTTGAAGGAGAGGCGTCTCCCTTCAGTTCACAAAATGTCCACTTCCTTGTCTCTCAGAGAACTGCAGCGCTCATTTCTCCAGAGGCTTAGAGTCTTTGGAAATCCCCCATGGAATGTCTCAGCTTTAGATTTACTTAGCGTCTCATTGTCTGTTTCGGCGGATGTTATGCCCTGGAAAGACCATGGGAATTGTGAATGCAGAGAAATCACATCGTCAGGCTTAACATGAAAATGGGCTTATTTGGAACTCTTTCTGATGGATTTATGATAGAATGTTCTTTGGGAGTTTTGGGATAGCAGCTTCTCCTCTGCAGAAGCAGGACCTGCTGTCTAGGCTTGCGTATGGCTCTGCCCCTGTGCAGGGCAATGTGCTTTTTGCCAGCAGCCCGCGTTCATGGGCAGGGTGGGAGTAAAACGTGACATTGGCTTCCAGAAAATAGCTAATCAGACCAGGTAACTCTGGCTGGCCATTGGACAAGGCTAGTGTCAACCTGAACAGGTTTTTGCCCTGGAGGTATTTCTTTATATGAAGACTTGAGGACCAGCAAAACTTTCAAAGAGTTTAGGTGAGGAAGGGACTGTAAATGTTCATTCCTCTCTGATGCCAGCTTTGCAGTGTTTGCCTGGTGAGATTTTCCATTTTTAATGTTTCCCCCTTAAATACAAACTTCTTACAATAAACAAAGGAAATTCTAGCACATACACAAGTGCAGATCTGATTTAGCATGCCAGCTTCCACCGATAAAGGCAGGAAATTTGGCGTGGAGAGCTGAAGTCGTGTCCTAAGCTTACCTTCTGTGACCAGGCAGTCCACCCGGCCCCAGGCTCTCAGGACTCACAAAAGGGGCGGATGTCAGGAGCCCCGTGTGGGGTGCCAGCTCACGTCACCAGAACTTGTTTGGGCTGGGGCAGTTTTGCAGTGTGAAGAGCTGGTTCCAGGTTTCTGAACAGACTGGTGTCTTCCTTAAGGTGGGAGAGGGGAGGCCATGCCTGGAAAGTCGGCAGCCATTCCTCGCTGCATGGTGTATACATGACCCTTCCCTGCAGGACTTGCTCTTCCTCCCACCAACAACAGCACTGATCTACTGCCTTGCCCTGTGCACGAGTGCAAACACGTCATGATGCACCCTCCACTTGGTTGCCTATTTTTGTTCTACTGTTTGTGTACCCCACTTCCACATGGGGCCTATACACCCTCATTGTGTCTGCTGTATACAACTCCATGTGCCCCTCAGTGAATGCTTTTTTTTTTTTTTTTTTTGAGTTGGAGTCTCACTCTGTCGCCCAGACCTCCTGGGCTCCGGTGATCCTCTGCCTCAGCCTTCCAAGTAGCCGGAACTACAGGCGCGCTACCACGCCCGGCTAATTTTTTTTATTTATTGTAGAGATGAGGTCTTGCCAAGGTGCCCAGGTGGGTCTCGAACCCACGGGCTCAGGCAATTCACTCACCTTGGGCTCCCAAAGCACAGGATTATAGTCTGAGCCACCGAGCCCGGCCAGTGAATGCTTTTTTGCCAATAATGAAGTGATTCTTTATCATCCACAAGATGAATAAAATCCTAAAGTGAACCAGGTAGCAAGCCGAAAGATGGGCTTGTTTTCTGCCCGCCTCTGTTTCTCTTGGTGGTAACTCAGTGACTGACAGACTGATGTGTGCACCAGTCAGTCTCTGTGTAAGATGCTGAAGACCCAGAGATGAGGAAGCCTCAAGAGACTATCAGTAGAGTTAGTGAGAGAGACCATCAGGTGAGCATGATTACACTGAAGGATACAAGCAGGCTGTTCTTCATGCCTTTCCTCATAACGAGCCTCCAATAGCACTGTCAGGACAGCAAGCTACCCTGCCACAAGGAGGGGGGCTGGTCCTTTCAGGCCACACGACGTGCAGAGCTGAGATGCTCTTTTGCTTGAGATATGCCTAGCCAGCTCTAGCCATTCTTGGTCCAAGTCTCTCGGCTTCCTAAGAGCATGGTCACATTTTCTGGACTCATACTGATCCTTCCCCTGCAGTCCTTTTGTGTGAAGCTACAGCGGACACTACACCATTGGGAACTGTATTTGTAATGGGTGCCAGAGAAGGGGACAGGACCCTGTTTCTTTCCGGTCTGGTTTCCCTGTCTGTGGCATGCTGGGAGAGTGTCTTCAATGGGGAGCACTTGTGAACAGGCTGGGGCTGTCCAGAGTAGGAGCAGCAGAAGGCAGTGCAGATGGACCTCCCAGAGGAGTGTTGCTCCGTGGATACTTTTTGAAAAACTGCTCTCAGAGAAAGTCTGAGAAATAGAAATAGAAAGTCTGTGCAGCTTGAGGTTTGAAGTGGAGGAGGTTTATGTTTCGCCGTCTTGTTTTTCCATTCCAGCGGGCAGCCTGTGCAAGCGGAAGAGTCCGGAATGTGACAAAGAGACCTCCATCTGCACTGACCTGGATGGTGTCGCCCTGTGCCAGTGCAAGTCGGGCTACTTTCAGTTCAACAAGATGGATCACTCCTGCCGAGGTAGCCACAGGTTCGCTGGCAGTTCTGTGCCCTGTTTCGGGTCTCTGCCTGGTCCTGTCTCTCTCTCTCTCTCTCTCTCTCTCTCCTCTAGATGTGACCGTCCTAAACTGGGGGTAACTGGTTCTTTTTATTTTGCTCACAGCAGGATTGAGGGCCTTATCTCCTTGGAATAATAGCGTTAATCTCTGACTGGTACACACTTGTCTGGCCAGTCAAATTCAAAGGAAAAGAGAATGGAATGCCCATCGTAGCCATGCCTTTTCTTTTCTTTTTTATTTTTTCCACTTAGAGGAAGTTAGAAACATTATTGTTTTCATTCTCAAAGCTTTATCTATTGTCTGCTAATCTTTTGAAGTGGAAATACGACCATGGATTCAGGCCTGTATCTTTTAAAGGCAGCCATGGCTTGAGTCAGAGCCTGACTCTTCTTTGCTGACTGTGCACCATCCTGGACATGTCACTGCATTTCTTTGAGCCTCAGTTTCCTCTAAAGTGAAATGGGTACAATGATATTTCATTGGATAGTCTAAGAGTTAAAGAAGGCAGTATATATAGAGGTGCTTTGTATGGCGGCAGCTTTTGCTCTTGTATTTCAGCCAGATTGCTGTTGAATTAATGAGTTGTGGTTTTAAAGGTTTCCTGAAGTGTTTCAGAGTAGAAATCTAATTCTGCTAACCTTTTACGTGAGGCTTACCTTCATTCCATTTGAGATAAAAATATGCTCAATGAGTGTAGTCCAAGGATACTGCTTTAAAATAAAATTAATCTGGCCCAGAGCACTGTACATCCTGACTCACAAAAGCACTGTACATTCTTTGTGGTCACCAGAGAAACCAGTAATACAAAGACCATCGTGTAACTTTAAGCAAGACCTCCATTAGAATGTAGATGGCACAGTTTGCCTGCTCAGTCAATACCTTGCTGGTGACAGATGTCACTAGATGTTTCTGGAATCTGTATAAAAATCACATACTGGGGTTAGGTGGCATGCCACTCATTTTTGCAGGACTTCCCATGAGAGGACTCGTTCCATCAGAAGATAATAACATGTTTCGAGGCAGCACTCTCCTCCTGAGCCTCAGACCCCTTTACTTTGTCAGATCTGAATACAGAGTTCTTTCCAAATGCACATCCTCCGCTCCTCGGGTGGGATCTGTGATAGCTTATGAAGAGGAGGGCCAACTCTCTGTGTTGGGCATAGGTCCTGATGCAAGACTGGCACACAGTGCTTCTCAGTGCTGTGCCAGACTGCCGCGTTGCTACAAAGAGGTAATGCATCTGACTGCCATCATTTTTTTTTTTTTGAGTCAGAATCTCACTGTCACTCAGGCAGAAGTACAGTGGCGTGCTCACAGCTACCACAGCCTTGACCTACTGGGCTCAGGCAATCCTTCTGCCTCAGCCTTCCAAGTAGCTGAAACTACAGGTGTGCACCACCATGTCCAGCCAGCCTACTGCCATCTTATCCAGTTTAATGCAAAGTGTTCCCCGTCTCTCTTAGAAATGAGGAGTTGAGGCCGGGCTTGGTGGCTCAGCCTATAATCCCAGCACTTTGGGAGGCCGAGGCAAGTGGATTACCTGAGCCTGTGGGTTCGAGACCAGCCCAGGCAACTTGGCGAGACCTTGTCTCTACAATAAATAAAAAATTAGCTGTGGTTCCAGCTACTTGGAAGACTGAGGTGCCACTGCACTCCAGCCTGGGCAACAGAGTAAGACTCCAACTCAAAAAAGAAAACAAAAGAAATGGAAAGTTGAGCCCAGCTTCTCATGGGAAGACGGTAAGGCTAAGACCCACATGTGCTGGGGTGCTTTGCTGCTGGGGGGAGGGAATGTAAGGTGGGCAGAAGCTGGGCCAGGTGGCCCCTGTGAACGGTGCCTCAAGGACAGCCCTGCCACCTTACTTCTGGGTGGCCTGAGCCATTTCCTTCTATTTTCAAGTCAGCGATTTCATAATTGTGTCAGAGCTGTCAAAGATTTACCAAATGCAGTGCACCAGCAACCTTATGTTTACCAAGTGGGGATGCAAGAAGCAGCATAAGGAAACCTTGACTGGCCTTTGGGCTTGTTGCAAGTCCCCGGGAGGCCCCTTCTTTTATAGTATTTGCAGCCATCAGGCCTCTGATGAATGGATTCCGGAGCTTCTTGGCCCATAGCCCTGTCATGTGGGTTCGGATGGGTTAGCAGTGACATCTTCTGGTCATCAGTGCCAGAGCATAGGGATATTTAAAATGATATCCCTTTTGGACACCTCAAAACAGGGCTCAATTCTCTGTATAAATAGTGTATAGATGTATGTATATGTTTTTTCTAAGTCACTGCAATTCAAGCCATCCAATAAGTCTCTATATTGTTCTCAGTTATACATACACACATGTGCGCACGCCTGCATGTCTGGCATCTCACATAAAATATCCTTACAGTGGCTTGACGAGACTTTCAAAGCTACCTCAAAGTAGGTGCAACCTCCTGTAGGTTTCTTAACTTCTTTCCATCAAGCAGGCATCAGGATGAATTCTAGCCATCTGTCGGCATGACTCTGTCTCTCACCAGACTGCTAGCTTCTCAAGAGCCAAAACCATGTCTAGAACAGTGTTTAGCACATCGTGGGGCTCAACACATGTCTACTGAATGAACAAGTGGGTGATAGGGTAGCAAATGAGACAGGAGAAAGTTAGCCTGTTTTGACTTTCCCTTTCCTGCAAGGGAACAAAATAGTTTTTATGACTCCACCATTGACTTATTTTCATACAAGTCCAGAAGGCTTGAATTTCCTTGTGTCCCACAGCACAGGAGAAGCCCGGCTTAGGCATCTACATGAACCATTGCCATATTCATCTCTCTTCAGTGCTCTGTGGTCACAGTTCCTATAGAGTGAGTGAGATGAGAGGCTGGATCCTAAGGAGCACAGGGGCACCTCCCTGATGAGGTTTCTCCCAGAACAGCACCAGGCACATGGTGACACTCAATGTTTGGTGAATGACTCAGTGAGCCCATTTGAAATCAAGAGGTATCATGACTTCAGGGAGTCAGGCCACTTCTGAAGCTAAGTGAAAACAGCCGCACCCATAAGCTTGCAGCCAGAACAACAGACGAACCTTACATCTGGCTGGATGACAGCCAGGGAGCTGCAAGCTCCCACCCAACAGATGAGGACTGATGCTGGGTGGGTAGACTTGATGTAAAAACATTTCCAGGAAGAAGCATTCAGAATAGAAAAGGCTGATATGACATCAGCCTGCCTCGGTGCTGAGAGGGATGGGATGAGTCACTGGAGAAACCAGAGGTCCCCAGGGAGCTCCCTTATAGCCTGAGGCATCCAGGGTGGCTTCCTGCTCCCACAACCCTGCCGTGGCATGAGGCAGAGCTGCATGGCCGGAGGAGGATTGCAGGCACGGTGCTTTCCTCTCCTGCCCAAATTGGCTGGAGCACTCAGCTCATTCTTTAGAGAAGGCCCCGTCTGAGTAAGGCCCGCAAACTCCATGCTATCCAAGACTGGGTAATGGGATCTCCTTACTCCTTCCCCAAGTGGGATATGATGATGCTCTGCCTTGCGGTATAAAGGATTGGGAGCACCTAATAAACACTCACTTAATAAAATAAGATTTAAAAACATTTAAAAGGTAAATCAGGCTGGAGGGGAAATAAGTGGGCTACCCGAAGGAAGGCCAGAAGGAAGGTGAATAAGTAAAAACATACACTGTAAAATCCAGCATGTTTGCTCATTCCAAGTTTCGAGCTTTCTGGACACTGAGGCAAAGAGAGAAACACAATTCTGAAAAGAGCTGGGTTCATAAAATTCCAGTTGTTTGGGAGCATCCCTGTGTTTCTAGGTAAGGGGGCCCAAGAGAAATGACACGGGGCATCCTCATCAAGAGGTTGCTGAGTGGTATTGTGACAACGTGGTTCGTGGCATCTCAAAATAACTAAAGTGACCGTAAAAACTTTTCCATGACTGCTGCTTATAACAGCTAGCCCTTTATACAAGAGAATGTCACTCAGGAAAAGCGATTCTGTGGAGCCAAAACAGTGCAGTCCAGGCTTACAGTTCTCTAATGATCAACTGTGAGATAAGTTACGGATTAATTAGAAGTGTTTTCCCAACTGTGTTCCACAGAGCTCTAATGATGTGTTCCTAGGTGGTGGTCTAAGACAATGAAATAGATGCCAGAAACATTTAGCTTCTAACATTAAGAAAGTAGGAAGGGCCAGACGCAGTGGCCCAAGTCTGTAATCTAAGCACTTTGGGAGGCCAAGGTGAGGGAATTGCCTGAGCCCACAGGTTCAAGAACAGCCTGGGCAACTTGGTGAGACCTCATCTCTACAATACATCAAAAAATTAGCTGGGCGTAGTAGCCCTTACTGTAGCTTCGGCTACTTGGAAGACTGAGGCGAGGGGATCACCTGAGCCCAGCAGGTTGATGCTGGGGTGGCCATGAGTGGGCCACTGCATTCCAGTCTGGGTGACGGAGTGAGACTTTAACTCAAAAATAAAAAGAAAGTAGAAGGAAGAATATTGAACACATCTTTGTGGCGAATATCATCGTGCAGGAGGATGCTGGACCCAGCCTGCAGGGTGTGTGCCCTGCTCTGCCTCACTCCTCAGCCTGGCATGCTGCTGGCCCTCACAACTGGCCATAGCGTGTCTGCTCTCTGCTCAAGGATCATGACTCTATGCTCTGTACCACGATCTTTTATACATTAATCCTGAATCCAATTTTTATCATTCCTTGCAGCAAGGAATTTGTCTATGAAGCCATTTTTCATTGTCCACACTCATCCAAGCATGCATTATAGCACATGGTGTTCTGTCATCTTACGTTGAAAATGTTCTGTGATCAAATAAATTTGGGGATTGCTGATCCAGGATGATGGCTGGGCCACAGCCGCTTCAGTGAAGTAGCGTTCTGTGAACAGCACCGCCAGAGGGTTCAGAGTATATTCTTGGGCAAGATTCCAATTAGGACACATCTAGATATGTCCAAAATCCCCAACACAGACGGGGTGAGCATTCTCTTATGAAAACCTGGAAACCCACCAGGACTGCACCCCAGAGAATGTCACCCACAGTTCCCATTCCTCATGGAAGGGAGCCAGTGGGGCCAATGTCAGGTTAAAGGTTTGATTTATATTAAAGAAAGTGAAACATATGTCTTTGTGCATATGGAAGGATGTTCCCCAGGGGACATTCTTCATCTGTAGATAAATACCAAAAAGAAATGCATTTATTGGATAATAATTACAACTACAGACATTTATTTTGTGGTTGCTACATGCCAGATCTGTGCTAAGCCATTTGCATGCCTTATTTTACTTAATCCCCTCCAAAAATTGAGAGCCCTTTTTAAGAAAAGTTTCTTAATAAGATTAAGAGTTGAGCTGGCAACCATATTTAACTCAGGTTATAGATTGTTCTAAAGCTATTTGTAGCCTCTGGTTCTAAAATATTCTTGTGGACTTTAGAGTGGCTAGTGTGTAACTAACTGCAAGTTGGGGCCAAGAGAGTTATGTAGACACAGTCATGGGTTTTCCGTTTCTCTTTCAGCCTGTGAAGATGGATATAGGCTTGAAAATGAAACCTGCATGAGGTAGGCTCCATGTTCATTAAACCTGCATGAGGTAGGCTCCATGTTCATTTATTCCGATGCTTTTGATACAAATCCTATTTAGAAATTACTTAGGTAAATTGCCTCAGTTATTTCTCTTGACATTTGAAACTAATTCTTTTTTTTTTCTTTCTTGACTTGCAGTTGCCCGTTCGGCCTTGGTGGTCTCAACTGTGGAAACCGTAAGTATTCAAAAGTGGAGTGCGTGGGCAGGGGCCTGGCTCCCGTTGTTAGCGTGCAGGTGGAGTTGGCAGTCTCTTTCCGCTTCCTTCATTCACACCCACTGTCTTCTTAGGTCCTATGCGAGGTGGCCTGGGAATACAAAGAGAAAGACTTGAGTGGTGTTCTCCAGGGGCACAAGGTCTGGGAGGGAAGATAAACATCCCTAAATGGACCTGCTGTGCCAAGTGTTAACGCTAAATCAGGCATGAGGTGTGACGCAAGGAGGCGGGGAGCACACCCCCTGCTGGGCATCAGCACTTCTTGGAGGGGATGGGATTGCAAGGGAGGACCGAAAAGACTTTGGCAGGAATAGAGAGAGAAGGCCATATGAGGCAGAGGGGACAACTTAGACAAGGATCTTGAGGCAGCCATGGGCCTGTGGTGTTCAGGAAACAGTTTTTGAGCGGGTGTGACTGGAGTATAGAAAGAGAGGAAGGCAGGAAGTGGAGGGTTAGACTGGTCAAGTACTTGGGGACTGAACTGTTGGGGTTTAGATCCCAGGCCGAGGAGTTTCGACTCTAATCACTAAACCTGAGCGGCTGGCAAAGGGCAGGAAAGCAGTTTGCTCAGGGAACACAATTCGGGCTGCAGTGAGGAAGATAGACATAGTGGACAGAGAAGAACGGGGAGCAGCTTAAAGAGTTCCAGTATAGTCCAACGGGGGTTCAGGGCGAGAGACAGCTATCGGAGTCATCTGCTCCTAGTGCAAGTAGAGGATGGAACACCCAGCCATGGAGAGCTGGTGGGACTGAAAGCCTAGGGTGCTTCACACCTAATTCAGTTCTTTGAGAAAAGTAGTTATGACTCACGATTGCTTACACTGACACTTTCTTATGTTGACATACTAGCAATGGAAATTACCTTCAAAATTAAAGAAATTTGTGGATAAAGGATATAATAAGATGAAGCCAGGCTCGGTGGCTCAGCCTGTAATCCTGCGCTTTGGGAGGCTGAGGTGAGTGGATTGCCTGAGCCTACGGGTTCGAGACCTGCCTGGGCAACTTGGTGAGACCTCACCTCTACGATAAATAAATTAAAAAAAATTAGCCGGGCATAGTAGCGTGCACCTGTAGTTCCGGCTACTTGGAAGGCTGAGGCGGAAGGATCACCGGAGCCCAGCAGGTCGAGGCTGCGGTGGCCAGGAGCAGCCATCATACTCCAGTCTGGGCAACAGAGTGAGACTCCAACTCAAAAAAAAAAAAAAAAAAAAAAAAAAAAAGGATATAATAAGATGTAATAGAAATAAAAAAGTCAGTTTATAGTTTAGGATAGCTTTCTCCTTCTACAGGTAAATGAGCCAATGGTTTATAGTCTAAGTTTGCTAGATGAAAATTAGACATAATTTTATTTAGTGTGTATAATTCCCCCCCAATTTCTATTCCCCAATGGTGTACCTTATAGCTGATGTCCTCAATGATATTTTCTTTATTCATAAAGCTTTTCTTTTCTTTTTTTTTTGAGCTGGAGTCTCACTCTGTCACCCAGACTGGAGTGCAGTGGCCGCTCCCGCCCACCGCAGCCTCGACCTGCTAGGCTCCGGCGATCCTTCCGTCTCAGCCTTCCAAGTAGCTGGAACTACAGGCGCGTGCTACGACGCCCGGCTAATTTTTTTTTATTTATCATAGAGATGAGGTCTTGCCAAGTTGCCCAAGAGGGTCTCACACCGGCAGGCTCAAGCAATCCACTCATCTCGGCCTCCCAAAGCGCTAGGATTACAGGCTGAGCCACCGAACCCGGCCATAAAGCTTTTCTATTAGCAAGTTTTATTAATGGCCTTCCTTTGAGCTTAACTAAAAGATAAAAATAATAAAAATATATTTAAGTACTATATGTATACTGAGTACAATATAAATAATTGTACTCAGAAGAGTATAAAACAGACACACAACTCTGATGCTGTGCCCAGCCTGGAGCACCTCTCAGGCCAGAGTCTACAGACTTGGAATTACGTATCCATTTGGGATTACTGGTCAGCTAATTGATCCTGACCGCAGACTAGCACGTGGTTACAGTTGATAGCCTCAGAGAAAGACTAGGAGGCACTTCTAGAAACAGATATATTTGGAGTTATATTAACAGAGAGGGAAGAGTTCACAGAATTAGTGTTGTTATTAAAGTAGCAACCTGACACACACACACACACAAATAAAAATAATAATAATAATAAAGTAGCAGCCTGCAGCCCTGAGTGGTGAAGTAAACAACCTGCCCTGTATAGGAGTCCCTGAGGACTCTGTGGGGCCATAAAACCATAAAAGCATGGACATGCATTACAATGGACCCAAGTCTTCATACTCCAAATGGTGTTCAGTGTACTCAGTTTATTAAGGTGAGGAAGTGATCATACTTTGGATTTTTTCTGAATTAAAGAGTAGTCAAAATTTTTTGTAAGTGTTGGTGCTTGAAAGAGTAGGCTTGAGTGTTTTGGTGAATTGGCTTCTGTAAAACAATCTGGATGGCAGTACATGTCCTTTTCTAAGAACCACTATTTAGACAAGTCCGTTTCTCAACTGGGTTCAGGAGGATATCTGCGCTCTAAGGGGGCTTCCTGGCATAAGGAATTGCATGTGTTCACTTTCTAGTGTGAATCTCATTCTTCACTCAGAACCAGAACTGAGCCACAGAAAGCGCTTATACTGATCAGAGAATGAAGTAGCCTGCACACAAAAATAGACTGAAGAAAATCTAGAACTTTTTCTTTTAAATTTAACAAAAAGTTTAATATGAAAGTGTACTTGACCTGATTTTTACATCAAAGTAAAACAGGCCCTTTGGAAAAAGGACATGAACTTCTCTGTTGAAAAGCCATTTATACTCGTTCCAAAGCTTCTAACATGATGATACTATTTCCCCGTATTACCACCATGCCAATATCGTTCTGTTGCCCACTAGTTGCCATCTCCACATATTCATCTATCACAAGATTCATAAAAGGGTCAGATTCCTGTAATAGTCCTTGGACATGTCGGCCACCATTTAGTTTCAGTGATAAATTCTTGTCCTTAAATTTTTTCTACTCAGGAGGGTGTGCTTTGCTTATGGTGTCTCCCCGTGGTCAGAGATGCCTTGAAACGGAATTCGCAGCCTTCCCACACTCCCACTGCAGGCCTGCATTGTGCTTCTAAAATTCAGAACTTTTCAATGCAGAAAAAGGAGGCTGAACAGAATTGAAGACTTGTTCCCCAAGTGCTGGAATACCAGAACTGCATGGTGTAGTCTTTCAGAAGAGATGGTTTAAGGGCTACTAGTAGTGGTTGTGTCACGAGCCTGAGAACCTTACCCTAAGATGCTAGAAGTATTAGAAACAGAGAAGCTTAGATAATTTCATGGAGTATGGATTAGGAATAATGTGAGGGAGGGAGGTAGGCTCAAGGTGCAGCAGGGTTGTATCACGTGTGCAAGAAACTCACCTGAATATAACCCCATCAGATGGCAGAGAAAGAGGGTGAGTGAGACAGGTGAGGAGTGTGGAGGTGTGGCTGCCTGTTCTCTGTGTATGCCCTGGGGACAAGCCAGGGAGCAGGAGGTGAGAGATGTGATCTGCTCAGTCCTCCTGGTGACTCCTCCCTGACAGGCATGCGAGGTGCTATAAACCTGCTTTGGTCAGGCAGCTCCCTAAACATGTTATATTAGAAGAGTCTTCCTAAACCCATTCTCAGTGAATGGGAGAGGGAATATGACTCTTTAAGGATCTCTCAGGGTTGAAGGAAAGGGGCATGAGCTGCAGAGCAATATTTTGTTTGTTTTATTTTAAAGATGTGAGGTATAGCTGGGCTCGGTGGCTCAGCCTGTAATCCCACACTTTGGAAGGCTGAGGTGAGTGGACTGCCTGAGCCCACGGGTGCGAGACCTGCCTGGGAAACTTGGCAAGACCTCATCTCTACAATAAAATAAAAAAATTAGCGGGGTGTGGTAGCGCATGCCTGTAGTTCCAGCTACTTGGAAGGCTGAGGCGGAAGGATTGCCGGAGCCCAGCTGGTCGAGGCTGCGGTGACTGGGAGTGGCCACTGCACTCCAGTCTGGGCGACAGAGTGAGACTCCAACTCAAATAAATAGATAGATAGATAGATAAATAAATAAATAAGCCGGGCTCGGTGGCTCAGCCTGTAATCCTGCGCCTTTGGGAGGCTGAGGTGAGTGGATTGCCTGAGCCTGCGGGTTTGAGACCCACCTGGGCAGCAAGACCTCATCTCTACAATAAATCAAAAAATCAGCCGGGTGTGGTAGTGCATGCCTGTAATTCTGGCTACTTGGAAGGCTGAGGCGGAAGGATCGCCGGAGCCCAGCAGGTCGAGGCTGCGGTGGCTGGGAGTATGCCACTGCACTCCAGTCTGGGCGACAGAGTGGGACTCCAACTCAAAAAAAAAAAAAAAAAAAGAAAGAAAGAAATAATAAAAATGTGAGGTACAATTCAGGATCAGGTAGATAAGTGGTCATTGTACAGGAAAAGTTTGGGCCTCCCTTCGGTCCCCACTTCCCATGGCTTGAGATCAGGTACCTTTATGGATGTTATGTGCCCTTCCACCCTCCACCTGGCAGTGTCCCGCTACTGCCAATCCCTTTCTTACAGTATTATGATTAATGTTCAGGGTCCACTTATGAGTGAGAACATGTGGTACTCAGTTCTTTGTTTCTGTGGTAGGTCACTGAGTATTATACACTCTAAATCCATCCAAGTTGCTGCGAGGTTGCAGGGCATTATTCTAAGTGGCATTGGTGATTGTTTTCCCTGAGATCATTAGCTGTGATCTGCATGTCTGGAGATGCTATGCCCCTACATCCATTGACTGTTCTGTAAGTTCTTGCGTTGGGAACAAGTCCATCCTCCCTGCTATGTTTGTAGGGTCCTGGAAGTAGCCAGAATTTCCCTCAGTATCCCCATACTTCCTTTTCCTCCTCATTTGTCCCTGTCAGCATCATCATGTCCAGCAGAGGGCAGACACCTGTCTGGATAGTTAGC